TCCCAGATCAGCTTCTCTGATTGGTTGACGCGGCGCATTGAGCAGCAAAAGTTACATTTTTCCATCTCGAGCAGCAGCGCGTTTGCGCCCGACGCGCTGCTTCAGCTGCTCAGACGCGCTGCGGGACCTTTTGCTACACCTTGACGCGCGTCAACCATTGACTTTGCATGTAAACTCGCTGCTTCTGCCGCGCCTGCTGCGTCCGGTGTGAACGTAGCAATAGACTCATGAGGTATAAGAAGGAGATGACCTTGTTCGGGGCTCAATCTTTGCTCAAGTTTGCCGGACGCTCGCTGACATTTTTTGAGCCAACAGCTGTGCAAACTCCAAGCATTTTTCTCTGTCCTGTAACGACTTGAATAAACTGGAATAAACTGGAATAAACTCTGTTAGTTTTTTGCTCCTGTTTTTATAGTCCTTTTTTATATGGTTTTACCCAGTTTGAGTTAAGAGTAGTAAATAACTTGCTCCCAGGAAAAGAACCGGGAGGGAAGTCCCGAGGCGCAACTGCCTTCAAGGGGACATAACTTCCTCATTTAACAATTAGTGTTTCCGCCCGTGACCTGGAGGCAAAAACAACAAAGCCACCGACAGAAAAAATCTTCACAGCCTGCGGCCGCAACAACCAAAAGGTGAGGAGATTCCTAATTACATTACATTATCACTTATTAATAGTTTTACTCTAGTAGGAAGATAGCCTGCTAATTTTGATGTAAAAGAAACCGGAATTTTTATCGAAAAGGCTGCTTCTTTAGACACCAAGAAAACATTTACTTACTGGATGAGTTTCTTCTGAGCACTCAGACTGCTTTCAGATTTGACAGAAATCCAAATGGAAGTAAAATATGCAGGCATTTTGCATGACAGGACCCCTTTAAGTACCTTTTAGACATGCAGTCGGGCTTCACACAGCCTAATTACTAATTTAACTGAGATTGAAAGGACAGACTAAAGATCGCTAGAGTTGTGTGACATAAATATCAAACTGTAAACAGGCAATAAGTTCTTTTATAACACTTGATATATTTCTTTTTAACTTTTTAGTTCAGCTTTTATGAGGCGAAGACGTAAATAAATATGATAACTGGTGAATATTCTCAGTCATCCAGGTCATAGTCATTCCAAAAAAATTTAGAAACAATCCACTGGACTTTGATTCTAAGCTTGAAGACGTTTTGCTTCCCATCCCCATTGAAAAATCTTCCTGGATTGGAAGCGAAACGCCTTCAAACTTGGAAACAAAGTCCAGTGGATTGTTTTTTAACTTTTTTGGAATAAATATCATAACCTATTTATCTGTACCAATGGTTCAAATTGAATTCCAACATTAAAATGTTAAAAAGTTAAAACTAAGTGAGGTAAAACTAAAGGGTTCTGGATGTAAACAGTCTGGATTGTGACTTTTTTTTGGTAAATCTGTTTAAATGAGCGCTGCTCGTCATGCTGTTGATTTTTCTTAATCCCCTCTTTGCTTCTCTAAATTTCCTTTGTCCTTTTTATTTTATTTATGACCAGTGAAGTGTTACTAGAGAAATGTTCCATCTGTTGTCTCTTTTCTGCAATCTGAACATGTTACTCGTATCTTTTTAATGAATAAAAAAAAACGAATTTTAAACAAACCTCCAGCTCCCTCTTCTGGAAGCAGAGCAGAGAGGATGTGAACAGAACGTGCCTGGGGTCACAAGCTTCATCCTTGCATCAGAGCCTTTCTTTTAAGGGCAAAGCTTGCATGCTTCAAACATCTGCCTGAATACATCTGCATGCTAAATCCTCCCCATCAGCTCTTCCAGGAGCAGCAGTTGGTCTCCATGCTGGGCTGATGTCTCAGACAAGGTTGGAAAAATGTTTGTGGCATCATTTTCCCGAAGGATTTCAATCCAATGCCTTCATGGCTGCCAAGTAACATTTCCTCCTGTTGATGTTAATTGGTTGTTAGTGAAGGACTTTGCAGAAATGTCACAACATGGTGTCAGAGCAGATGTATAAGTCCAGCTGATGTCTAAGACAATTTAAGCCTCTGATTGTTTATACTCTGTCTTTAACATCTGAATCCAGATTCAGTTGTCTGACATTTCTTCTCCCTGCTTTCCAGTGAATGACGAGCTTCTTTATAGCCCTTTTCAGACATAAGCATGGAATGATAAATATAACTATAATTCTCAATAATTAAAGAAAATGTTTGCATGTGTTTCGTTTGTATTTTTTACTAGATCTTCTGTAATAATTTACTTTCATGGTTATAATTTGGGTGAAAACGATACAAAGATAAGAAAAGCTTAAAAAATATTCTGTTTACCTTTAATTTAAGCAGTTAAAGAAGATGATCAGCTGTTGGAAGAAGTATTTTTCCCTAAAAGTAAGATTCGTACTCGTCGTCTCACAATTCCTCCGGGTCTGGATCACGAGGGCAGCAGTCTCAGCACAGACTCCCAGAGTTCCCTTCCCTGCAGACGCCTCCTCCAGCTCTGATGGGGGAAGCAAGAGGGGCTCCCAGGACAGCTCAGAGACATAGTCCCCTCCAGTGTGTCCTGGGGACTCCTCCCAGTGGGACGTCCTTGGAACCCCTCCAAAGGGAGGCGTCAATGGGGAATCAGACCAAGATGCCCGAGCAACCTTAGCTGACTCCACTTATATAGAGACCAGATGGCCCCTAATAAAGGGCCCCTGACTCCGGACTCCTGAAGCGCCCTCCCATAGGGACACGGTCAAATGCCTTCACCAGGTCCACACAGCACATGTGGACTGGTTAGGCAAACTCCCATGAACCCTTAAGTTCCCTGCAGAGGGTGTAGAGCTGGAACAAAAACCTGAGGCAGAGGTTCAACCATTAGCAAGACTCTCCTCTCCAGCATCCTGGCATGTCTTACAGGGGATGCTGAGCAGTGTGATTCCCCTATAGTTGGAAGACACCCTCCGATTCCCTTTCTTATGCAGGAGAACAAACACCCCGGTCTGCCGATCCAGGGCAATGTCCTTGACCCTCAAGTAATCTTATCAAGTGAGAGCGGGTGACAGGTGAATCTTCGGGGTATTGTTTCTAACAGGTTGAAAGGTAGTAGCCCTGATTACACTACCCCCTGAAAACCAATCCGTGACGAGCTTGGATCATTTAACCGTGCCGAGCCCGGTTCCTGAAGACCATTTACTGTATACACGGCGCTAGCACGGTTCCTCACCTCCTAATGACAATGTACGGTAGTATTCTACTGCTCTCTTGAGGTGAACAAGCAAACCAACATGGCGGCACCCATAGCATTCAGAAAGTTTGTGGATAGTCAAGCGAAGAAGGCAGCCCTTCGTGAATTTACTTGACAGAGTTGGCTTTTGGGAAGTGGATACGACAATCGATAGTCTAATCAGGGCTTACAGGCGCAGGAAACATCAACAGATGTTGAGGTTCATCACACTGCTAAGCAGAATCATCACTGGAAATCATGTGGCACGGTAGGGAAGCTTGTATTTTTATGAATGGCTGACATTTCATGATTAAGGAGGCTGACTCTAAGGAAATGACGCGGTCTGCTAATACGCTCTCTGTTATCAGAGAACTATGCCTGAACTAAACTGCGACGAGCCCTTCTGATGATCTAGTACCATGTTCTGTTGCATCTGGAGCTCTTTAGTTCAGTTTTGTGTGCCATTAACACTCAACAGTTATCTCGGTTACCGTGCTCGACCGATCTAAGCCCGTTTCTAAAAGGCTAGTGTAAATGGGCTTATGTCTAAGACCATCTCCTCTGTTGAGAGATGGTTTTTCCAGGTTTAAAAAAATGGCTTCCTTAAAAGTAACAAAGGCTCTATAAGGAAAAAAGAGAGAGATTTTTTTGTCATTATGCATGAAAAGCGGGCGCTGTACCGGTCCGTTGTGGTGAAGAGAGAGCTGAGTCAAAAAGCGAAGCTCTCGATTTACCGGTCGATCTACGTTCCTACCCTCATCTATGGTCATGAACTCTGGGTCATGACAGAAAGAACGAGATCGCGGATACAAGCGGCCGAAATGGGTTTCCTCCGTATGGTGGCTGGGCTCTCCCTTAGAGATAGGGTGAGAAGCTCGGTCATCCGGGAGGGACTCGAAGTAGAGCCGCTGCTTCTCCACGTCGAGAGGAGCCAGTTGACGCCTCCCTGGTGAGGTGTTCCGGGCACGTCCCACCGGAGGGAGGCCCCGGGGAAGACCCAGGACACTCTGGAGAAACTATGTTTCTCGGCTGGCCTGGGAACGCTTTGGGGTTCCTCCTGAGGGGCTAGAAGAAGTGGCTGGGGAGAGGGAAGTCTGGGCCTCCCTTCTTAAGCTGCTGCCCCCGCGACCCGACCCCGGATAAGCGGAGGAAGATGGATGGATGGATGGATGGATGGATGGATGGATGGATGGATGGATGGATGGATGGATGGATGGATGGATGGATGGATGGATGGATGGATGGATGGATGGATGGATGGTTGGATGGATGGATGGATGAAAAGAAGAGATAGACCAATGTGTCATTTTTGGCCGATATTTGTTTTTTTCTTGTATGGGCATCAATACTGTATATTAGTCCATTCAGCATCCATACTTTGAGATCATGTGAAGCACATGCATATGACTTTATTGTTCATCTTTGATGTTTTGTTGGATTTTTTCTTTTACATTTCTTTCAGTTTACTTTGAGACTAGTGCAAAAATCGGCCTAGAGAATAACATTGTAAAAATCAGCAGCACATATCAGGAATCAGTTGATCTCTAAAAAGTCCTGTTTCAAGCTCTTTGAACCTTACCACTGATTATCAGGTTCATCACAGAACAACTCAGCTATTTATTTGTGTTTTAGGTATTGTTTTAAACTTTTAATCTTTATATTATGTGGAGTTAGGATTGGTAACGCACTTTGGAAAGTGATGTAATACCTTTTTGTCATTTAAGAGACAAACGTGGTAAATTGTGTCACTATCTGAACTGATTTCTTCTTTCTAAGCGTCATTTTCAGGGAGTGGCGTCCTCAGATCAGACGGATACGACTCACCAGCATGCATATGTCCATGGGAAGGTAGACTTTCCGCCGGCTGCTGTGGTAAGGAGTGGCTCTGAGACACGTTACGATTCCCTGAGCTTTTCCTATGTGACTGGCTGCGTGATCTGCATGGACATTCTTTACACCTGCAAACAAAAAAACAGCACAGACCTTTATTGACAAAATCCAACTCTGCAAAATCTAGTTTGGCAGAGGCAAAGTGTTTTAATACACAGAAGCTGCTTTGTTTTCTTTTTCTACTGTCAGGTATAAGTGCATTGGTAGACCAGACACTAGGCTGATTATAGCTTCACTAATTGAGATGTGTTATTTTTAAACATGAGTGCTAGCCGTAATGAGAAACCGCTTCACCCTTAAGTCACTCTTATATTCACTAATGAGGAAACGGAAAGACGGCCAACAAAACTGGTCAGTTCAGAGATGCAGCGATTTTGCCACAAGGTCAGAAAAGAGAGAGTTCCTGTTGTGTATAGAAAAATATGGAAAGCAAATATGGACGCAAATCTGGTGTTCCTAAATAGAAATCAGCAGAGAACCTGAGAAAACCATGTCAACAGCATCTCCGTTTGATCTTAAGCCCTTTCTTTTAACGTCTCTCATTAAAACCTACCCAAACACTCCAGCAGCAGGTATAACAGTGAAGACTGTGTGTTCTCTGAATATTTCTCAAGTTCCTGAAGGTTCCTGTAGGCTCGATCGTCCATGTCCTTTTCCTGGTGAAATAAACAGTTATTAGGGAAGTTTCAGCTTTTACCTCGAGAAATGGCATTCAGTGGAAGAAGTTAGAAACGGTGCTGTTCACTTAAGACCAACTGCTGCACTCTGCTTTATTGAGGAACGGAGTCAAAAGAGGCAAATTTAACAGCATGTCTCAATTATCAGATAAATATTTATCTAAAACCGTTTTCTAAAACTTTACTTGAAGCAGAGTATCTTGTGAAATTAGAGAGAAGATGTTCTAGCATTGACCCAAAGGAAGGTCTGCTGATCTCTTCGTGTGACCTTCTGCATATGTCTCTTCAGCAGTGTTTACCGTTTTTTTGCGACTATAAGGCGCATATAAACGTCTTTTTCTCTCCTCAAAATGTGCCCTATGTGTGTTGTTACTGCGGACGTTGTTGAGACCACCATGAGAGCGTTAAAGGGGGAAGTGTGGGCGTGGATTGGCTGCCACGCAAATGGACAGAAACTGCCGCCTATGGTGATTTTTAAGAGAAAGACTTTGCTTAAAGAGACTTTTCCAGCTGGAGTCGTTATTAAGACAAATCAAAAGGGCTGGATGGATGAGGAGATGATGAAAGCGTGGCTGAGGGAGGTGTATGTGAGGAGACCAGGTGTTTTTTTTCCACGCATCACCATCGCTGTTAATCTGTGACTCCATGCGTGCCCATCTCACAGCCGATGTGAAAAACAAGGTAAAAAAAATGGCCGCTGTGCTTTCTGTTATCCCAGGGGTCTGACAAAGGAACTTCAACCACTCGACATCGGCGTGAACCGGCCGTTCAAAGTAGGGCTGCGAGCGGCGTGGGAGTGATGGATGACAGACGGAGACCACAGTTTCAGGATAAGTGGAAGGCAGCGCCGGGCAAGTTACGCCACCGTTTGCGGATGGATTGTAGATGCTTGGACTAACGTGTCTGCTGGAGCTTTTGCGAAATCCGGCATCATTTCCGAGGAGCCGCCCGGCACAGAAAGTGTCTCTGACAGCGAAGAAGGGGAAATTGGCATGTCTGATTTAGCGCAGCTGTTTAATTCAGAAACAGAGGATGATGACTTTGATGGATTCGATTAATACTTTGCAATAAATACATGAATAAAGCACAAACATACTCAGTTTTGCTCCCGCTCTATTTTTAAATACGCAGTAGAGGTATTTAAACATAGTAGAGGATATGTACTGGTATATAAAACCTGCGCCCTATAGTCCGGGGCGCCTTATGTGTGTGTTAAATACAGTAATGGCACACATAACTGAGACTGCGCCTTTTAGTATGGTGCGCCTTATGGTCGTGAAAATACGCTACATGGAATTACGGTTCTACTAAAGCAGCACTTCACATCTCTTTAAACTATAATGTGAGAATAAACTACATTACTAAAACTGATCTTAAAGTAAGTAAAATATCTATTTAAGATGTTTGCCCTTAATTTGGGCAGATAAATAATCTGTCAATGAAACAAGTATTTTTGCTGTTAAAAAAAGATAATGAAATAGTCTTTTTCTTATCTTAATCATTAATTTAACTTATTCTGTTGTAAAATGGTCTTACTCATATGCTCAAATCAAGGGAAAAGACTTATTCCAAGAGAAACTGAACTACTTATATTGTTAGTTTATTGTATTCTGAGGTCTTAGAACCTGGAAAGTTCACTACGTAGGTCAAATTTTCTTGAAATCAGTGTATTTTCCCTTGATTACAGCAGGTAGACAATGGAGTAATAAATTTATGTTTAAAATAAGAACAATCAACTCCATTGTCTATGCATTATATGATCTTATTTTAAAGAAAACAATACTCATTCCACTGGAAGATCATCCTATTTATCTACTGAAATTAAATGCAAAAAAAAAAAAAACATTTTTAAGAATGAATAACTTATTAAAATATCAAAATCTAGATGAGTAATTTATTCTTAAAATAAGTGCATTTGTTCTTGGATTTAGGAGTTAAAAGAGACATTTTGCCAATTGAACAAGACAGTTTACACTTAAAAAAAGAAAACACAATTGCATTGTCTTAATTTAAGTGCATATTATCTAATTATCTTATTTTAAGAGTAAAAATACCGATTCCATTGGCAAACTATCTCATTTACCTACTCAAATTAAGGGTAAATACACCCAATTGAAGACATTTTTAGTTTTTCTAGATGGTTTTTCAAGTGTAGTTTTTCCCTTATCAGATAAAATCACAGCAGGCCTGTCAGGGTTACAAATTAAATAATAAATCAGAGCAGAAATTATTGCCATAAACGATAATAATGTTATTCTCTTTGCATCCAAAGTGCTACCAAGCTGCAGCCGTGACGTTTCAAACCATCATGAGCAAAGATTTCCCCACAATGATGCTTTGGATGCAGGCGGGCCATGTTTAAACAGTTTTAGCTACAAAGTGAGCGGCCATGATAAGGTGACAAAACATCCAAGTTTTGGATGACCTTTAGCCGCCGTTAGCTGTTACAGTAAATGTCTGAGATTTTAATGTCTCAGGAATGACGTGAAGACCCAGTAGCATCATGGTTAATAGCAACAGCTAGCAGCGGAGCTTAATGTTAGTGTCCGAGTAGAAGAGCTGAGCGCCTTTAAATAAAAGCAGACAGCGTAAGCTTATCCACATTAAGCGTGTCACCATTTTATTCTAACTAAACTGACTTTTTTTGGTTCAATGCTACGAAGCGTTACTCAAGTTTTTTTTTACATATTTTTTTATCCAGGTAAAAAAAAGCACTGATGAGAAATGACTAAATAAACCAAACTTTTATGACTAGAGGAGGAGGAAAAACTGGCATGAGGAAGATAGGGTGGAGAAATCTGACCAGGATGAGTTAAAAAAAGGAAAATTGTTAAGTGCTGCCTACAGCGAACAGCAAACATTTAAATATAAGCAAGTCAATTTTTTTTAATATAATATATAAGTAATTTCTCTTCATTTGAGCAGATAGTAGTTTGCCAATAGAATAAGATAATTATATCTAGAATAATATTTTTTTTAAACTCCATCAAACTCCATTATCTTATTCCAAAAACAATAGTATCTAATTATCTTATTTTAATGGGAAGTATACTCATTGGTAAATTATCTAATTTACTTGTTTAAAATAAGGGCAAATATGTTTAGTGTCAATTCAATTCAGTTCATTTCTATATTGCCAATTCAAAACAGATTTCATCTCAGGGCCCTTTCCAGTTCACCAGATCATCCAGTGAAATTGAATCAAAGTTTTCTATCTAAGGAAAACCAGTTGATTGCATCGACTCATTGACTGGAAGGCAATTCCTGACACTACGCACGCTCTGTTTAAAAGTTGCTGTTACCACTTATCAGGGTTCCTACAGCAAGACTTTTTAATGCCACTTGAAGTAAAAATTTAAGACCAAATTCACAAGAAACACAAGAAAAACCTGCTTGCAACAACTTAACCCAAAGGTTTATTTTAACATAAACCACTGCACTAATGTTTCAAATTTTGAAAAGCTTCCCATACAGGAAGAAAGCTAAAAACACACAAATGACAGATATATTTGAACAATTATTTAACTGAATTCACAAACTTTGTTTTAGCAGGGAACAAAACAAATCAGTTTTAAAGCCACAACATAACCAGTGCTAAGTCTTTTTTGCAGCTATTTTTCTTTGTATGGTTTTCTTAGTATGTTTGATTTGGTGATAAGTGGAGGCGTTGCAGAGACAAGGGTGGAACTAAACTGAGAAATACCGGCTGTTTCTTGGTAACTCCATTTTGACGATTTGTGTTTCGCGCTTCGCATGTGCGACTCCACTGCCTTAATTCCCATCGTTCTGAGCTTGAATGACTTCTTGCACTAAATCCACTGAGCCTCATGTATGTTCCCTGGTTTTAGCCATGGAGAAAACTCTTGGCTGGAGACAATTTTGGTTACATTTACACTTGCTCATATTTTCCAGACAAAAAGTTAATGGTGCATCTCCCAAATGTCCCGGCCGCAACAACACTTTTATTGGTTCCGCTATCGGGACGGAACCAATAATGGCGAGCTGTTATTTTTTTTAAATAAAAAAAAAAGGTCAATTTTAATGTTTTATTTAGATTACAAAAATAAATCATAATAAAAATAATTCTATTTATGATGTTTTAAAAATTAAGACCTACGAAAGACTGATTTAAGACATTTTAATACCAATTAAGGCCTTAGTTTTATTTTGAGGAATTCAATGCCTTTAGAGACTTTTTAAGGACCCGCGGGAAACATGTAATAGGAAAAGGGAAAAAAAATTTGTCGTTCTTAAAACTTTGTTTCTTACTCTCTCTGTAACAATCCTGGTCAGCCATCTTTTTGTAAGACAATGTGTCTTCACTGCCTATGAAGGGAAAATAAATACAATGATTACTGTCCCCAAAACAAGAATCTGTTGGAAATGTGTCCTAAATGAGGCTGGAGACATTTACCCTCCACAGCTCGGTGCTGACTGGCTGGTTCGGTGGGTCGTCTTTGTAGATCTCCTCTATGGCCGTCTTCCAGAACTGCATTCGCATCAGGCCAATGGTCTTCTGGGAAACAGAGTCCTTCACCTGCCAGGGAAAGTAACCAACTCTGTTTGAAATAACTCCTGATCAGACATACGAAACATTTATAACTTTTTTCCAGACTTTAGATTTAGTTTGCTGGGTTTAAATTAGGGCTGCAACTAACGATAATTTTGCAAATCGATTAGTAATTGGATAGCAAAAAGTTCCTTAAAGACGTAGGGAAGCGGCTGTTCCAATGGTTTCAGTTCCAAATTCTCCTAAGTGGAGCCCCACTTACACGAGTGAATAAAGTGAATGTGATTGGTTGTTTTTTAAGGGGACAGGATTGTTGTGACGAAAGGTTCACGTGCAAGTTTTGTTGTGGCTGTTTTTTTTTAAGCATCTTGCTAACCAGTTAGCAACTTAGTGCTAGTAGGTTCCCAATGGGAAATTCCATTGGCACCAAGTAGCACTAAATTGGTGACTCTAGAAACGACACAGTAAAGGAACGCTATGGACAGAGGAAACATGCAAGAGGAGGAGAGTTTAGTGTCGGAGGTCGTGGATGAGTCTCCTCCATCATCCATTTTTTATTTAGAGGAGGAAAGCGGGACGAAGATGTTGTGGAAGAGGACGCCAGGGCGGCAGAAGCTTGGTTTGGTGTAGAAGGCTTCCAGCCGTACATGTTTGAGCCCTTGCCTCGCAACGCTGCCAGTTCTGTTAGCTCTACGCCTGCAGAAGACACAGACGTCCATCCCTGTGAACACTGGGATGGAACTCAATGGGAAAGGAAATTATTCTTATTTCAACCGTTGCGTATATTAGCTGCGACATATGAATCAAGATCCTATGACTGAAAAAATTCAATTGACAGATGACCGTTGATATATGATTGGCTGAATTTAGGTGTTCAGGCTGACGTATAACTAACTGGCCTGCAGAAGATAATGACAAACAAACAGATTTTAATACAGGCTTATTTTTTTTTTTATAGAAATTCTCTAACTTCTGGGACAGCAACGTCTGAAAAAAGAACATTTATATACATGTTTAAGCCAGAATGATTTGAAATTTTAATATGACTTCCCTACAACTTTAAAGAAGATTTTTTACAAATTAAACCAGGTGAAACTAAAACTTTTCCACTTGTGTTCTGGTTAGAGCATATTGACAGACGAAAAGTTTTTTTCATGTTAAATGCAAAATGTTTACACTTTTTTTTTAACAATTTTGGTAAACTTTATACTTTGGTATAGTTACTGCTCTAAGTGGATCATCTGCCAGCAAAAGACATTCTGTTTCAGAGTCTCTATATTCCATTTAAAGATCAATCAATATTTCAATTTATCGATAAATCACGATTAATCCAATTAATTGTTTCAGCCCTTGTTTAAACTCAGTATTAGAAAATATGATCTCCCGTTCAGCCTTATAGAGGAATACCTGCCTGAGCCAACTCCACATTAAAGGCTCTCAGAGCCAGAGAGGAGCGCCGCGCCTCCTCTGGAAGGAGGAGACAAGATAAAAAGCCCTCATAGTCTCTGGACCTGAGGAGAAACAAGAAAAGACTTCAGATATCTGCAGTCACTGTGGAACAAATTAAGCTTTTACTCTAACTGGAGATGGCGTGTGGTGTCAAACCACCTAAAAGGAAACCTTTAGTTGTTCACGTCACATTAGTTTTTTAATGCTAAAAATCCTGACTGATGTTCTCCCTGAATTTGCTTCTGTTTGTCTAAGAAACATAACCAAGAAGAAGCTGTTTCTCAACTCAACTCAGCTCAAACTTTATTTATAAAGCACATTTAAAACAACCAGGGTTGACCAAAGTGCTGTACAGGAATCACAGTTAAGAAACATATGATAAAAACTGAAGGCTAAAAATACATAAACACATAAAAATAGAATAGGATAAATGTTTCAATGAAAATACATTTTAGAATAAAATTAAATTTAAAATTCTGCCAAATGTCCACTTAGACATGATTAAAAGCCAGGGAGAAGAAATGTGATTTTAAATAGGATTTATAAACCTCAAAGGAGCCTGATGATCTAATGTGCCAAGGCAAGTTATTCCACAGTCTTTGTGCTGCTACCATAAAGGCATGATCACCTTTGGTTTTAAGTCTGGTTTTAGGCATCGCCAGTAGCAGCTGATTAGAGGATCTCAGTGTTCTGGCTGGGGCATGGATTTGGAGAAGCTCAGTCAAATACTGGGGGGCTAGACCATTAAGAGCTTTAAAAACAAACAATACATTTTTAAAATCTATCCTAAAAACAACCGGTAGCCAGTGCAGTGAGGCTAGAACAGGTGATATGTGGTCACGTTTCATCATTCTGCTTCATTCTCTCTCTATTCAATCTCTAACGTTCTGCTCTCTCTGCTTTTCCTCAGAGTAGCTTTGCCTCGTCTGTTCCTGTTTGGCTGTGACTCCATCCTGGAAAGAAACATCAGCTGTGCTGCTTCCATCAACACCCTTGTTTATAGATGTTAGAGATCTGCCTGTTTTCCAGTGTAGTCCTGTTTCTCTGACCGTGACTGACTGGATGTGCTCTCTTCATCCTCTGACATGGGAGCTGACTCGGAGCTCGTCTGCCTGGCTGTGTGTTTCCTGGACGGGGCCGCCTTTTACAGCTGCTTTTTATGTCTCTGCTTCTGTCTCCTTGAACCCCAGTCGGCCTCGGCAGATGGCCGCTCACACTGAGCCTGGTTCTGCTGGAGGTTTCTTCCTGTTAAAAGGGAGTTTTTCCCCTCCACTGTCGCTACAAGCATGCTTAGTGTGAGGGATTGCAGAAGAGTCAATGAGTCGATGCAATCAACTGCTTTTCCTTAGATAGAAAACTTTAAATCAATCTGACTGTATGATCTGGTGAACTGTAAAGTGCCTTGAGATGACATGTGTTGTGAATTTGGCGCTATATAAATAAACTGAATTTAATTGAATTGAAGTTTAGGTGTGCCAGTAAGGAGACGGGCAGCTGCATTTCGTACCAACTGCAGACGGTTTAAAAGTGAGTGTTCCAAGCCAGCATATAAAGAGTTACAGTAATCCAATCTTGTATTAACAAAAGCATGGATTACAGTCTCCAGATCTTTTTGTGGCAGCTCCGTCTCGGAATTCCAAAAAGGAATCCTCTATTCCTATTCGTGCAGCATCCTTTGATGTCATTATTAGCATTTAAATCACATTGGATGGATCAAAATATATTAACTAGTTATTGAAATACCATATTTGTTCTGTAAAATTAACACTTTTATTCAGCACCACTTTATACCTTCTGTGGATGTTTCATTTCAAAAAACTTAATCAGTTTAATGAAAAAGTTTCAGCTATGAACTTTACTTCTGCTATTTTAGACCGAAAATGTCTTAGTGCTGCCCTCTAGGGGTTGAAAATAGCTACTACAGTTGAATTTCCCAAATGTTAAAGTGGGTGGACATCCATCTATCCATCCATGCATGGGTGCATGTCCCTCAATATCTAGATGAGCAAAGCTGGTAGAGAAATTCCCTAAATGACTTTTTAAGCATCCATGCAAAGAGGCTGGATCCAAATTCTCCCCACGCCTCTGTCAGACTCATTTATTAAAATATTAAACCCCATTTTCTTTCTACTTTAAAATCCTGCACCACAAAACACAATGAAGCTTGTGATTCTAACATGAAATTAAATTAAATGTTCAAGGCTACTTTATATACTGATACTTTATAGAGAGTGAAGGTACTTAGGTACTAAAGGATTTTTCTAAGAGAGAGAAAATCTGTTTACTACATATTCCCATAAGCTGAATAAGTGTCATTATGTTTTGAGCTGATGGCCACAGATGTTTTAATGAATGACCCCGGGTCAGTTAGAGCAAGCCGAATGGGAAAGAACATTCCTACAAAGTCACACCGAACAAAAAAAATTAAAATACTTTAATAATCACTAGAATAGCCGCTTTATATCTTTATTTACCATAAATTTAAACGAAAAATGGCACATGAATGTATGTATTCGTATGTTTCCCAGTCATTGTGTCAAGAAGTATTGGAACATTTTTAAAGAAACAATTTCCATTATTTAGATTATTTAATTTTGAGAGAGCAACATTCAGTAAATATTTTCCTGCTGTCTGTTAGGTTAGCATGTCTGTTAGCAGAGCTGGAAAACAGCAGGACCTACCTGACCAGGTTCAGGCAGTACTTCTCATTGTGCTGAGCGTCTCCTGTTGAGTTTGTTGACCTTCTCACACTCTGTAATCCAGCCGTCCTCTGAACACAAACTCTGTTCGGCGATATATTCCTCGGAAAACTGTAAATCAGTGAAGTTCTGTTTAATAATCCATGCTGAACACTGACGCCGGCTGCCATGTTCCCCTTCAACTAGTGATGCGTTCAATGTTCCTCGTAAATAAGAGGGGAAAACTTCGAAATTAGCTTAAATGTTGACATTATTCAATTTTATAATCAACTAAACCAAAGACAAACATTTTAGAAGGCTAAATTAAACCAAAGGCTTGAAATGTTACTTTTAATAATTTTTATTTAATTGTAAGATATTTAAAACTCAATGTTCCAAAGTTCTTGAACACAGCAAATGCTCTCTTTTTGTGTAACATTAAAACGCCCCCGTGACCATCCGGCAGAAATTAACGAGAAATTTGAAATTAAATCCTTCCACGTAGTGTACGAGGTCTTTGGTTTTATTATTTCAAATAAATATATCTGAATAAAAAAAAATAATTGATTTAATACACTTTTGCAGCTTTGCAAAAAGACTCAAAGAAAGTTTACCGACACACTACCGGAAATTCACATTTCACATTCACATTATGAGGACTTCAATTTCTCCCCTGTTTTGTGACAAAAAAGTCGACGAAAAACTAAACATTTAGCTGCAATGGATTTTTTTTTTACATGCATGCATATTGATGCCTCAATGGAAAGATCCGGTCTAGATAAATCGGATATTCTTTTTCGATATATCTGACTGAGTTTGAACTAATTCACTAAAAGGAAAGCAGTTTGAATCGCTAGAAAGGCTAAATCAACACAGCTCCTGCCAGCCTAATGCTTGTAGTAGTTCTAAAAATGACTTTAAAGTGAACGAATAAGTATCGCTGATTTTTGGAATGAATTATTTGTATTTTAATGCCTCTGGTAATAATTCTATGGAAGAGGGTTAGGGCCACTTAAAAATAAAAAATGTTAACTGATTTTTTAAATATTATTTCAGTTTAATATGGGAAAATAAGTCAAAATTCTAACTTTAATCTCAGAATTGTGACTTTTTTCCTCAGAATTCTGACTTTATTCCCAGAATAAAAACAAGTAAACATCAAGCTATTGCCATGTCTGTTTTAGAGAATAGCTATCTTGTTTTAACCACCTTCTGCTCTTCCATTAATGAAATAGCATCACCGGGGACCCCTCAGACACGTAAAAATTCACCTACTTCCATAATTTTCCACCAGTGTGTTACTGGCCCTCCAAAACAACCCACATCTTTGCCAGTGAAGCTGAATGCTCACACATCTCTTCCTTCATGGTGCCAATCTACATTAAGATCCACAATTCTGAGATTAAAGTCAGAATTCTGAGAAAAAAGTCAGAATTCTGAGATTAAAGTCAGAATTCTGAGAAAAAATTAAGAATTCCGAGAAAAAAGTCAGAATTCTGACATTAAAGTCAGAATTATCAGAAAAAAGTCAGAAGTCTGAGAAAAAAATTCAGAATTCTGAGATCAAAGTCAGAATTTCAAGCTTAAAGTCAGAATTCTCAGAAAAAAGTCAGAATTCTGCGATTAAAGTCATAATTCTAAGATTAAAGTCAGAATTCTAAGATTAAATCAGAAGTCTGACAAAAAAGTCAGAATTCTGTGATTAAAGTCAGAATTCTAAGATCAAAGTCAGAATTCCAAGATTAAATCAGAAGTCTGACAAAAAAGTCAGAATTCTGTGATTAAAGTCAGAATTCTAAGATCAAAGTCAGAATTCCAAGATTAAATCAGAAGTCTGACAAAAAAGTCAGAATTCTGTGATTAAAGTCAGAATTCTAAGATCAAAGTCAGAATTCCAAGATTAAAGTCAGAATTCTCAGAAAAAAAGTCAGAATTCTGCGATTAAAGTCATAATTCTAAGATTAAAGTCAGAATTCTAAGATTAAATCAGAAGTCTGACAAAAAAGTCAGAATTCTAAGATCAAAGTCAGAATTCTAAGATCAAAGTCAGAATTCTGCGATTAAAGTCAGAATCCTGCGATTAACGTCAGAATTCTAAGATTAAAGTCAGAATTCTAAGATTAAATTGGAATTCTCAGAAAAAAGTCAGAAATTATACTTAAAAGTTAACTTTTCTTTCAGGGCACTAATCCTCTTCTGTATTTATGTCATATTAAACTGAAATAATATTTCAAAATCAGTTAACTTTTTTTATTTTTGCAGTGGCCCTAACCCTCTTCCGTATAATACTTAAAAGTTAACTTTTCTTTCAGGGCACTAATCCTCTTCTGTATTTATGTCATATTAAACTGAAATAATATTTCAAAATCAGTTAACTTTTTTTATTTTTGCAGTGGCCCTAACCCTCTTCCGTATAACTTCTGTCAGGGACGCAGATTTGTGTAGCCTTCTGTTAGGTGGCTTTTATTTTGTAAAGTCACAGGAAGTGTTCTCCGTTAGTTCCGTTTCTGTTTCCTGTCAGCCTGATGTTGGCTTCAACAGGACAGCCTATTTTGACAGGGTAGCTCTACGCCATATGGCAGCAGAGGGGCTGAAATGCTGCACTCTTTGGCTGCTGCTGTGGCTTTGTTTCCAGACACCCGAGTCCAAAACTGCTCGGTAAGACCGCCGGTTGTTTTTAGATTAGGCTAATGTTAGCCTGTTAGCTGCTGTTATTGACAGAAGCGTGTCTACTTTTTGACCCTGCTCAGGTGACGTATACTTACCGTAAAACACGTTCGACAAATTTATGAACACTGCGAGTGTCAAAACATGACCTTAACCAAACCTAACATTCATTAGTTATAAGATAACTGTTTCCTTTATTAACTTTTATCAGCAGTTGTAAATCCGAAGAAGCAACGTTTTGTGCCGTTAAACTCACATTGTAGGGCATTTCTTTTATAGTGAAGCTTAAAAAAGATAAATTTCCAATCATACACAACGCATACACGATTTCTGATTTAAGTTTTCATTCAAACTAGATCACATTAGCATGACCCAACTTGTAGTCACAAGGTTGGACGTCACTTCTATTTTTAATTTAAGGAAGTTGTGTTTTTCTTTCTAAATGTTTCCCAAGTTGCATTTTTGCGCCACAAGATGGTGCTATTGTGCCACAATTCATAGACCAGATTAAAAACCTATAAAATCTATTAATATTAATACTTTTTGTGTTGTTTGATGTGTTTTATATATTTTTATGTAAATATAAATTATTGTAATTAAATTTGGTGAAAAGTAATTGTCTAAACCCTTTATAAATGAATATTTGATGTAATATAGTCAGGATAGAAATAACCTGATACCTTTTGAATAAATTCCAGTTTAACTAATTGGCCTTAATTGAGACCGCCAGTATATCATTTAATCTCATTTATGCAAGTTCAATGCTTGTTCCAACATCTGATTTGAATTAAGAAAGGCAAGTTTATCTCATTTGGGGTGTGATTAGTGGACTAATGAATGTCCCAGTTCTTATAATGAAGTCAGAATAATAAACTAAGTAAAACAACAGTTATAAAGGTAGGCTTTTTTGTTCTCCTTTTGCTGTACTCCAGCCATTTACCAAAGCAGGTTTTTGTTTAAACCCAGCTGTAAAAATGAAACTTTTGCTTTTATTGTTTCATTTACAAAGAGCTCAGAGATTGGTGTTATAACTTTATTTAAAATTACTTTGCAGTTTTAGCAACTTCGCTTTAAAATAATAAACCTTTATGACATGCTGCTCCTTTTTTTTGGCTGTTTAGGGCTCATTAAATTCATGTAGCTTGAATCTGAGAAATGTAATGCAGAGAGGAAGCCATTTTTTGGGGCTCTGAAGCTACTGGGATCTGGCATCAACTGATCTACTTCTTACATAAGTTTAACCTTCTGTTGGAGCAGAACCTTTTCATGGTCCCATTGGCATAGTAACACAAAGAAATTTATATTTTGGACGCGTCAAAAAACTTATAAAAAACTATTTATATATTAAAGTATTTTTTGTAAAATTAAGGTGTTTTGTTTTTTCTTTGCCAGTTTTTTGTGGATAAGATAAGATAAGATAATTCTTTATTTGTCCCACAATGGGGAAATTGCAGCGTTGCATCACAGTGAACAGTACAGTAGGAAAAAAGAAAGAATAAAAAATGTTAAAAATATATATTAAGTATATAAAGACAAGGCCATCACACTTGGTGTGAACAGTTAAGGAGTGTAAATCACATAAATCACACCCATCATGGCGATATGATTCAGTATCAATTTCCTGACCCAACAATTCACTTATATTCTCAAGAATACACCACAACACAATTCGATTCGATTAATTAGTTTATTTTTTTTTAACCTTACACGCTAGACGATGTTTCAAATTTGAAATAAATCAAAGAAAGCTGTAGTATCGTTAAGCATTTTCTATTTGATAAACAACAGCAGATAACAGAAGTAGCAAAGTTATTCCAGGAGCAAATGGATAAAAAGAGACCAGAGGAAGAAAAAAAACATGAATCCGTACTCTTGTGGACGTATCGATGCATCGGATCGTCAGCTGCTGGATCGATGCGTCGATACAGAACGATTATTATTATTTACACCACTATCTGTGGATGCATTACATTTTTAAATACTTTTAAATTTTAATTAAAAATTTGTAGCTTTGACCTTTTAAAAACATGGAGTGTAACTAGTTAAATAACTTACTTTAAAGATAAACCAGATAGATATAAATTAAACTAATATCTTTTTTTGTGTGTTCATGAATCTAGTCAAACTTTTAATCCTTTATTACAGTTTAGTTTAATAAATATTATAATATAATTTCTTTCTAAAATGGTGACTTCTTCCTTTTATTGTGAGAGTTTTAAAATTTTTCTCCCAGAAGAAAACATCTGTCCTTGTAGAAATAAATCCTTACTAATGATAAATGATCAAGAATCAAAGTTATGTGATGTTGGGAAACTACTTTCAACAGAAAACGGGGAAAAAAAACAGATTAAAAGTTTAGAACTGAGAAAGCCACATGAATGGATGCAGAATGACAGTAAAAAAAAAAAGTCTGTTTATTAAAACACTTTCCATCGTGGGAGGAAAATGGTTTCTGCACCAGAAACTATTTTGACGGTTTTGTAGTTTAGATTCACATCGGAAAACTTTGAATTCAAATCAATATTCACAGTTTTAATTTGATTAAAACGAGGATTCAGCCTTCCGGTAATGTTTGAATTAAAGTGTTTTATCAACGGCTAAATGCTGCAATGCTGCTTTTTTAAATGAAATTGTTCAAATAAATCCAGTGATTACTGCTTTGAATCAGGTTTTTTGAACTGTATCTCTGTTTCTATTGGAAACCTTTTGGATCTCTCCTAAATGAAACCATGTTCTGGGCAGCAGTTCTCTGGACGACGACCTCCTGCAGCCTTACTCAGAGGGGCACGGCCCCACCCACTCTCACCGCCACGTCAGGGACTGTCAGGCCCTCATTCATGGCAACAGCACCCATGAGAGCTGGCCCTCCAGTAACAGCAGCAGGCAGCCGGTTGCCGAGTCCAACGTGTTTGTGACGGATGTGGAGAAAGGCACCAGATGGGTTCTAGGTAAGTGAATGATTATAAATAATAAAAAAAGGTCAAACTAAAATGATCTGAACGCAAACAGACCGCTCACTGAGCAGACTCGCATCCCGTGACATTGGACCTCTGTTTCCAGGTCACCTCACCGTGGTCCACGACCCGCTGCAGACCGTGTCTGTGGTGGAACCAGGAGGGCTCCACGGCTGCGGAACGAACCGCAGGGTGTCTGTGGAGGAGACGGCCACGGCCGCCGGATGCATTTATGCTCAAAATGCTGGATTCTTCAACATGGAATATGGAGAGTGTCTCGGAAACGTTGTGAGTGATGGCAGGCTGGTGCGGGACAGTGGCGGGGTGCAAAACGCCCAGTTTGGAATAAGACAGGATGGGACCCTGGTGTTTGGGTAAGAACAGAAATATTTATATAAATAAATAATTATAATAATTATGTTGACGTCATAAGAAAGGGCAGGGCCCCGAGCAGATCCTCTTGCCCGACTTTCACATTTCATTTGCCCAGAAACTATTTTTACTTGCCCAGTATAATGTTTGATAAATATAGTTCCTAATATTCATTTTTGTATATATATCTAATGAAACATGTTTGTTTTTTAAATGTTTTTTGTAATTCAGTATTTTTTAAGTTTCCAGGTTCCTGGTGTGTATCTGCATGCGTCAGATAATGAACTCAAGCCTACATTACCGTGTTAACATGCTTTTCAATCCTTCCTGCACATTCTTTTCAAACTAAACTTTGCTTTAAACTGTTGTGTGCTTGGAAAAATATAAATTGTAATGTTAAAAATCTAAAAAAAAAAAAACTTGATAGGTTAAAAACTTAAGATAAATCACAAGACAGAAGTCAATGTCACAAATAATTAACTTTATTTTAGAGTCACGGTATGTTGATACAAGATAATACTATTAATATAATGTGACTTTTCTAGAGAATCATTATATATAGTTATTTTATACAGGGTTTCCACATTGTTGCATAATTTCAGAATTCCCTGACTTTTAACTGACTCAGGATTAGTTTTCCCTGACAAAATAAATGCAGCAACAAGAAAATAATAATAACATAACAGGTCACCAATTTAACATGTTAAGCTTTATAAAATTTAAATGCACCTCTCCAATTTCTGAGAGAAAAAAATGTAATGAACATTTTTTAATGTATGACCTGCATCACTGTACAGAAGACTGCCATATGATAGCGCTTTCTAGCTTGTTTGACGTTTTGGTATCACGCAGACGTGTTCACAAGTCATTTTTTGCAAGTCCAAGTCAAGTCTAGAGTAGGCCTGTTGCAATATTAAATTAATCGCACAATAAATTCTAATCACATGATTTATAAAAAATAAGTTCAATGATTTGCGTGCTTGCTTGTTTCTCCTTGTGTTTTCATCTCCTTCACTGAGACGGTATATCTTAAAGGTCGCCATCATACACTATATTGCCAAAAGTATTTGCTCACCCATCCAAATTATTGGAATCAGGTGTTCCAATCACTTCCATGGCCACAGGTGTATAAATTCAAGCACCTAGGCATGCAGACTGTTTTTACAAACATTTGTGAAAGAATGGGTCGCTCTCAGGAGCTCAGTGAATTCCAGCGTGGAACTGTGATAGGATGCCACCTGTGCAACAAATCCAGTCGTGAAATTTCCTCGCTCCTAAATATTCCACAGTCAACTGTCAGCTGTATTATAAGAAAATGGAAGTGTTTGGGAACGACAGCAACTCAGCCACGAAGTGGTAGGCCACGTAAACTGACGGAGCGGGGTCAGCGGATGCTGACGCGCATAGTGCGAAGAGGTCGCCAACTTTCTGCAGAGTCAATCACTACAGACCTCCAAACTTCATGTGGCCTTCAGATTAGCTCAAGAACAGTGCGCAGAGAGCTTCATGGAATGGGTTTCCATGGTCGAGCAGCTGCATCCAAGCCATACATCACCAAGTGCAATGCAAAGCGTCGGATGCGGTGGTGTAAAGCACGCCGCCACTGGACTCTAGAGCAGTGGAGACGCGTTCTCTGGAGTGACGAATCGCGCTTCTCCATCTGGCAATCTGATGGACGGGTCTGGGTTTGGCGGTTGCCAGGAGAACGGTACTTGTCTGACTGCATTGTGCCAAGTGTAAAGTTTGGTGGAGGGGGGATTATGGTGTGGGGTTGTTTTTCAGGAGCTGGGCTTGGCCCCTTAGTTCCAAGGAAAGGAACTCTGAATGCTTCAGCATACCAAGACATTTTGGACAATTCCATGCTCCCAACTTTGTGGGAACAGTTTGGAGCTGGCCCCTTCCTCTTCCAACATGACTGTGCACCAGTGCACAAAGCAAGGTCCATAAAGACATGGATGACAGAGTCTGGTGTGGATGAACTTGACTGGCCTGCACAGAGTCCTGACCTCAACCCGATAGAACACCTTTGGGATGAATTAGAGCGGAGACTGAGAGCCAGGCCTTCTCGTCCAACATCAGTGTGCGACCTCACAAATGCGCTTCTGGAAGAATGGTCAAAAATTCCCATAAACACACTCCTAAACCTTGTGGACAGCCTTCCCAGAAGAGTTGAAGCTGTTCTAGCTGCAAAGGGTGGACCGACGTCATATTGAACCCTATGGATTAGGAACGGGATGTCACTTAAGCTCATATGTGAGTCAAGGCAGGTGAGCAAATACTTTTGGCAATATAGTGTATCTATGGAATGATCATTATCTTGAACTGGTAAGTGAAAAATAAATGCTTACATGTCACGTAGCGTTGCGTCAGTGACGTCAGTGCTACGTGACAGTTTGACAGCCCCTTTGCCGTTTTTTTTTTTTTTTTTTTTACCTTTGCTGTACGGGTAAGGCGAGCGGCGATCGGTCAAGTTAGTAAAACAAAAAACACTTAAAAAATCAAATATTGTTCACAAGTAGGGTTGTCACGATACTAAACTTTTCAACTCGATACCGATACTAAAGAAAATATTCGATACTCGATGCCATTTTCGATACCACAAGGATAAAAACTCCAAATTTCAATAGAAATATTTTGATTAATAATTAAAATACAATAAATAAATACAATAAACAACAAGAACAATATTTTTTGAGGTTGTTTGCTGTGCACAATATTAAGCAAGCTTGATAAAAAAACTTACAAAATTAAAATAAAGTTTTCCTTACTTGGCTATGCTTTGCACACATAATGACACTAGCCAAACCAGTTAAGAAACAAAAATTATTCTCAGCAGCTGCACTTGTTATAAAAAAAAAAAAAAAAAAGTGTAAAACTGAAAAGTGCACAGAATTATTCAATCACAGTGTTCAGAAAGTGCATTTTCCTCTATTCTACACTTTAGATGAATGATTTTAGGTGCCACTGGTGGCAGCACTGAATCGATACTTCTGAAAATGAGTATTGTATCCGGATACAACGTTTTAGTATCGATACTTTTGACAACCCTATTCACAAGTCGGAAATCGCGAGTCTCAGTCGAGTCTGAAGTCATTAAATATTCGACTTAAGTGCGAATCGAGTACGAGTAACAAACTCGAGTCCCCACCTCTGGTATCACGCCATCTGGTGGAAAATCACCCGGCTTTTTCAATCACGCGAGAATGTGTACAAAACAACAAAAATGGCGCCGGCAACGCTTGTGGGTCGTTTTCAGTGAATGCCGGTGATTTTAAAGTAATTTTGAGAGATAAATAATCTTTTTTTTGCGATCAAATGGGCAAATGCAATGAAATTTGAACTCTCCCGACAATAAAAACTACTTGCCTCGGGAAATCGGGCGATGGTTAACATCGAGCCCTGCACTGCGTTTATGTCTGAAAGGAGTTTATTGGAAACTTTTCCAAAGAGCCTAAAAATATCCCAGTATCCTCTGAGCTTCTCCCCCGATTTGGTACAACCAGCAAAATCTTGTTTTGGTTTGATTTTTTTATCTCTTTTTATTTCAAGGGCTCCATAATACCATAAAACCCTACAAGTTTCCCAGAACTGCACCATCACAGCTCCTCCACCGTGCTTAGGAACTGGTTTAAAATACTTTCCCATGTTTCCTCTTTAAGAGTTGAAAATTCTGTCAAATGTATTATTTGTGTTTTTTTCCTGTGTTTTCAAGCTGCCCCAGAAATAAATTTCCGACAAACAAGATGCTTTCTATCCACTCTGCTCATCTCTACACGTATTAAATATTATTCCCCCTTATGTCGGCCTCTGCTGCATGCTCATTTGCTTATGTGAAGTACATCAGAGCGTTTGCTGAGTGGCTTCCTGTTGGTGTGTTTTCACGCAGCCCGTAGTTTAACCTCTGGTCCACTTCAGCAAAGGCTCAAAAACAAACATCAGGTGACGAGTTCATGTCTGGATGACTCCATTTGTTTATTCTAGTAATTTCCACTTTGCAACTTCACACTTTCCTAAAAACACAGCCTCATTTTTTTTGAAGGTTTTAAGATAAAATCTTCTGATTATTGCAGGTGGATAGAGAAACGAATTCCCTTTAGGAAGAAAACAAAAACAAAAAACACTTTAACAGAATATAACAAACAGTCATGCTCTGGCAGGTCATCTGTAAACCATTTAGAGGCTTATTTAACTTACTGGTTTGATAACTGGGGTCAACAATCCAGGGAAGTTTTACATGATGCAACAGTGACTTGTGTTGAATAAGTTTGCAGGTTCTGTTTTTTTGCTTCTTTATGTTTGATGAAGTTAATAGAAATGTAAAAACTGGGAGATGAAGTTTTTATTTTTGTCTTGTGGCATGCAGGTACCTCTCACAGGAAGATGTTTTAAACCAGACCAACCCCTTTGTTCAGCTCATCAGCGGAGTGATTTGGCTGCTGAGGGACGGCCAGGTTTACATCAATCAGAGTTTGGAGGCCGAGTGCAGCGAAACACAGAGTACAGGTACAAACTGACCCTCAGATCTGCTCAGAAAACAGTAAACTATCAGACTTTAAGTGCAAATATATCTGTATGGGAGAGAAGAGATTCCTCACATGAATCGATTATTGTGGAAAATCCTCCATCTGTGTCCAGAATCAGATTCCCTGACCTCAGCTTTCTCTGAGCGACTGGATGAGCTCCAGCTCTGCCATAAATAAACAACAAGTGTTTGCACTGGACTGAAAGTCATCTGTGACCCGAGATAAACACATTGGCGCCACAAAAACACAACACTGTCATGTTTGGTTTGCAGTGAGAGGAGTCTGGAGTCTCCCACAGCTCACATGGGGTTTCCAAACAGCTGATGAGCTCAGGAGACCTTTAAGAGGGGTAAAGGAGAGTTTTCCCAGCATTGATCCAAAGCAACCTCAGCTTTATCATCCCATAACAGATACTGTGTCTATTTAAAGAGAAGAAAGGCTGATTCATTGCACTGTATTTAGCCACTGTTTTGCTCCTTAAATACGTCCCACAGACCAAACCGAGGTGTCTGTGCTCCTTATCCACATGTGTTGGACACTGCAGGCTGAAGTCACAGATTGAGCTCAGTGATGACTAAATTGTTGGTTAGTGAAGCTCTTTTCTTTCTACAGAGAATTGTTTTTTTCCTCCTTTGTAAATGGCGATACCTTCAGTGCCAAACCAGTCAAGTCAATTTTGTTCCAATATTGTAGAAAGTTTCATAAGTAGAAATTTGAAAGGAGAAGCAATCCTGAAATTTAAAGTTTCGAGGTTTTAAGAGTAACTTTGCTGTTTTTTCAGGGGTTTTTTTTGTGTGTGAAATCTTTAACATTTATTTTCAAATTTTATTCTCGTTTTCAGTATAAGTGTAAGATTTGCATTCCTTTCAAACTGTGTTTTACGGATGACGTTCTCTTAACTGCAATCCCAAAACAAAAGCTTGCTCTCGACAAATAAAATGCTGTTACTAACGTCCAACAGACCAATAGAAATGTTTGTTTGTTTGTTTTTTTTTACTCATTCCAAAAGAAAGGCTGCCCACCAGGAAAAAAAGAAGCAATTTCTAAAAGTTTTTGTTCAGCTTTTTTTGCAACCTGTTAATAAATTCATTAAAAAGGGAAGAACAATGGAAAGAGCGGTGTTTAAAAAAAAGATAAAAATAAATCTAAGGCTTCTGTAATCAGAAGAAGGGAAATTCTTAAGTGATTCCACTTAAGAATTCAGGAACTAGGAATATAAACTAAAGCTGGACAATTAAAAAAATAAATGTACCCTTCCAATTGGATGGATCATGTAACGCCTCTAAATCCAATGTATTTTTTTGTTTTGTTTTTTATCTTCTTGAGCACCAATTAATCAGTAATTTAGTGATGGTGGAAAAATACTTTTCTATTTTACAGTAAAGTAGCTGATTAGTACATACTGTAACCAGAGTACCGGTGTATGTACCAGATCTGCTCGGGGCCCCGCCCCTTCTTATGACATCACCATGTGGCAACTCTGCTCGGATAAACTGTATTGCAACAGTTTCTTAAAGGTATACTATGCAACCGGTGTTGATTTTCCAGCGAGGCTCCCCCCAGAGGGCGAAAGTAAAAGTGCACTGTCGTAAATATGCACAGCTGTTCTCCTGGTTTCTCCGTCAAGCCAGGCGCGGTTGTTTTGAGCTTAGCAGACAGGCGAACGCAACGAATGACTAACACAGTGAAACTATGAACATGCACACAGAGAGAGAGAAACCATTCCAATGTTACTTACAATTGCATCAGCAGAAACGCGAGGTCCGCGTCAGCCTTGCAGCCTTCTTTTTATTTTAGCTCTCGCCATTCGGAAAAAGCTTGCCCGATGTTCACCCATGTACGACTCCTCTCTCTGTCCGGAGCCCTTTTCCTCTTTCTTGCCTGCTCCGACATGGGCTTTCGCTGTTTTCACGCTGGTTCCGCCATGATAACTGCACAAAGATCGCCACTGTGCTAGCAACGAGCATGCTTTTAACTGGGGGGTGTAGCAGTTCTCGCCGTAAAGCAAGACCGACTCTCGCGAGACTTCTGAGCCTGTGGGTGCGGGCCGAGGGCTCCTGCAATTGCAAGTGCGGCATTTCCCCCACAGACCACCAGGGCGGCCGAGAATACCTTTGTTCAACCTGAAATGACTCATTTAATCATCCAAAACGTTATGGAACACATTAATTAACTGAAAACTGTTGTATAGTGTGCCTTTAAAACTCTAATCTCTTTGGGAGTCTCAACATATTATTATCTATATTTGCTATTATTTTACATTTCATTGGCGATCTAAAGTAGCAGTAAATAGAAAAATATCATTGTCAGTCTTGAAAGAAAGTACTGCATTCAAAGACATTTAACAATATGCTTATTTTTATTCTTTTTATTAAGATCTGAGGACAGGAAGGACAAATGGAACATCTCAAAAATGACTTTTGTAGAGACTTTAAACAAATAAAACAGTTATTTTACTTATAGAAAACGAACGGTTGTTGTTGAGACAAAGTTAAAAGTATTGTAGCGTAATGTGGCTAACTGACAGAGCTAAAAGCGGCTAACTTGTTAGCTACTGAGCACAGCTAGCCAGAGCGCTACCCAGCTCTCCCCTTTATATCACCTGAAATGACTTTGTTCAATATAAAAAGATATATATATATTTTTTTTCAGTTTTCTTTTATCGATCAGGTAAAAATTCAGTCATAAAACACGCTAACGCTACAGATGCTCCTGACTCAGCACATAGACGCTGTGCTATGTTCTTATCGTTGTCTGGGCAACCATAATGGCAACATTCAGCCAATCATGTAGCGTAACGCCACTGGCATGCGCAGGACCAGAGCAGATCTGGTACCTACACCGACATAGGCAGTTGCTGTTACTTTAAAAAAGTAGTTTGTTATAGTTACTAGTTACTTTTAAGAGAAAGTAACTGAGTTAAATAACTTTTACTCAAATTACATTTTAAATGAAGTAATCTTGTACTTTTACTTGAGTAAATTTTGAGATGGGTAATTTTACTTTTACTCTGAGTAGAATTTAGGCAAAGTAAAGATACTTTTACTTAATTACAATTTTTTAGTGCTCTTTCCACCTCTGGTTTTGCCTTAAATCTATGAAGACCATAATACACCATGTAATGTTCCTGTCTTTGTTTTCAGGGTCACTGAGGTATTTTGTGGATGTGGTGTCAGCCAGAACGGCCGTGGGCCACGATAAAGAGGGAAGACTCATCCTGTTTCACATCGATGGCCAAACAGATAGGAGAGGGTGAGAAAATAAATGAGCAGAAACATGTTTAAAATTGATCCGTGTTCTTCTCTGAACATGTGCTTATTGTGAGATATTGATTAAATAGAGTTCACTTATTCCCTGACTACAAGCCTGCAAACTGCAGAAAAACATTTACGCAAAAATGGAACTTGTCCTATTATGTTATGCTAGAAGTTTTAAAAGTGCAGTTTAGTTTTTTGTCTTTCCTTTTTAGGTTTTTGATCGAGAAAAAAACAAAACAAAAAAAATCAGACCAAAAAAAAGAAAGCAAACTAAATATCTTCCATATCTATTAAATATTATGGATAAATGTAATATAGAACTGATTCATATACTGTTAGTGGAATTATAATCTAAACACTCCTGATAAAACTTCTTTTTGTCTTCTATATCTGAATGCATTCCTTGTTCATCTATCATTACATTTATTGGGTTATTAAAGGTCCTCTTCCTACTATCCCCATAAAAATAAAAATAAAAGCAACATATGTTCAAGTTAAATTAAAGCATCTGTCAGTTTGCAGCACCACAGAACCATCAGGATCACAGATGGTGACTTAATACATCCTGACCCTCAGCACCTCGTGGTAAAACGATGCGCACTGCATGCTCAAAGACCAACCGATTTATAGCAACTCAAAAGTTTTAGTCTATCCTTCCCAGAGCCTTTTATCAGAACATCAAAAAAAATAAATAAATAATGTCCTAACAAATATAAACAGGGACACAGGTTTACAGTATGAAATATTTCAAATTGAGCCATAAAAAAGGAGTCCAAGGCTAAACAGTTTTATTGGAATGAACACAATTTAAAGACATTGTGGAGAATTTCTTAAAAGACCTGCCCTCTCCACTAAAAAAAAAAAAATAATGCATGTGCATGCACGAGACCATTTCTTCTCGCACGCCAAGTTTAAAATGTGCTGTTCTCATAGCTCATACAAGCTTACTGTGTCCCCATACAGCGGGGACTCTATAGTGGACTATATTTAACTCAGTTAACTGACTATTTGGACAGATGATCACTGCTTTTTTTTCTCCATTGCTCACCTATCTCCTCCTCCACGCGATGCCTGCGCAATCTTTGTTATTAGTCTCCGCTGTCAGGTAGCGACAGCCTATGGAGACAGCGGACCGCTGTGACAGAAGTTGTATCTGCCTCTTCTGAGGACTTTCTTTTCTTCTCATCCACTTCGTAGAAACTTTTTCTATTACGACCCTCTGCCATTTTCAAAGAACCGCGATGAGAAAGGTGAGCTTCAATGACCAACGGAACGAGCACGTAAGACGGCCTTATGTAAACATATCGCCAGAATGATTGACAATTAGGTCATCTTATATAGATGATCCACCTGGAAATAAAAGATCGTCCTCTATACCTTTAACACATTAAACAGCTATTTTCTAATCAGTACATTTATGTTGAGCCCTGAATTAAAGTGAAAACTGACAAACTGAAAACTGACCCCCCCTCCACCTACCTACCCGCCTGTAGAGACTAAGCATAGCATTACTTTCAGTGGTATCAGTATTAATGAGGATGTTTACTCATTCATCCATCAAATTAGCAGCTACATCTGAACGCCTCAGCAGCTTCAGTGAACACCAACATCCGTGCTGTATTCAGAGAGATGATCCAGTCTTATCTCTGTTAGCATCACATATTTTGTTTGGACCTTTTTGACGCTGGATTTTTTTACTTTTCTTTTTTATTTTCACAACTTTGTTGGAGCAGCTAACTCTCTTAGCCCCATTACTTGTTTAGCCCCTGCACACATGCACAGTATTGTAGCTTAAGTCACATGTGTTGGTATTGTAAATATAAACAAAGCTTTATTTATTAACAAATTGAGGAAAAACAAAACTTAAAAGACAACAATAAAAAATGACATGATAATCTTCCAGAAAGACTTTGTATGCTAGCAGAGGGAGTTAGGGGCGTATAAACGTAAAAGAATATCATGATAACATGATCATGCCCTTTTAATTCTTGTCTAGAAAAGTATAAAATTTGATATCTAATTTGATGCTGATCCGTCAGAATCCATCCTTCCAGCCACCTGCTCAGTATAAACATTTTTTTTTTTTTTTGATTATTGAACTGAGTCATAGTTGAAAGATAAACCAGCTGTTTTATTGACTCACACTGCTCTACGCTCTCCTGAAAGCAACACAAACTCTGGCACATTTGCCTTAGATAATTTATATTCTGATAAAACATGAGTGTTTGCTTTGAGAGATGTTGAAATTGTCCTCAGACAAAACAAACAAAATCGCCTACAGTCATTCTTGTCTCTACCCGATCCGTCCCAGAAGCAGGATCTTCCATCAGCTCATTTGCACATAAGCATCCAGATATATATCCAGGTTGCCCTACATTTTATTTTGTAAAAAAGATCTAAATAAAAATTTTCCCTCCCCAAAAATACTAAGCGTACTAAAATATGATGCGTTAAAGGATAATAATGTATTTGCTGAGAAAATATATGCCTTAAAATCGTTTCTGCTTTATGAAACGTCTGTGCCCGATCTGCACCGGAAATGGGAACCTTCGCTACTTCCGGGAGATAACTTCCTCAGATTTAAACATAAATATAGCCTTTTTGAGTTTTATGTTTTCCTTTCGTGTTAACATTAGGGGTGTAAATAATAATCGTTTTGTATCAATGCATCGATCCAACAGCCGACGATCTGATGCATCGATACGTCCGCAAGATAATCGATTCATGTTTTTTTTTTCCTCCGGTCTATTTTTATCCATTTGCTCCTGGGCGTAGTTCTCCTCCCGTGCTGCGGTGCCGCTAAACCTATTTTGCCCTCCTACCTCGCTTCCTGGTTATACTCTTATAGCAGTGTGTTGCAGTGAGCTTGACATAGACATTTTTAAATTTTGCTCAATATTGAAGCGTGGTCTGCGCTACACGCTGTGGGTCTAGATACGGCCGAGGCGGCGAGGATGTGGGGGCGAGTTTAGTCCGACGATGGAGGGACATGAGGGCCAAAAAGAGCGGAGATCCTGGTGGAAAAAGGGTCCCAGCATTCTCGCGCACCTCGCTCTTCTAGCGGGTCAAACTTCACGAGTTGTTTTCCGCAATTTCGGTCATAAAAACAAAACAAGCCGGCCTCCTGTCTGCGGCACTGTCTGCGGTCAGCTACAATTTGGGAGAGGAGCAGCGGAGCGTCTCTTAAGGGGGCGGGGACGTCTGGAGTCGAGGTATTGCATTGCACTCATTGCACTGATTTTGTGCAGTGTTTTTTGATGCAAGGCCTTTCAGAATCTATAACGCAGAGATATGATTATTTTTCAGTAAATGAGGTTTTAATAGGAATAGGTGGAGTAAAACTTTCCTGCTTCTGTTATTTTCTGTAGTTTCTAAAAAAAAAAAATGCAAATGTGAAACATTGTCTAGCCTGTAAGGAGTAAAACAAAACAAACAAACAAAACAAAAAAATGAACCAATTAATCGAATCGAACCGCATCGTGGAGTATTCAGAAAATAATCAAATCGTTGGGTCAGGAAATCGATACTGAATTGAATCGCCATGATGGATGTGATTTACACCCCTAGTTAACATTATGGCATATAGCGCGTAATCTAAAGAAAGGAACGACTAAAATGCAGATAAACCTTTTTTAATCATATTTTGCCGGACTGCTCTTAACATCTCCGATGATGACATCAGAGGAGCAGTTTAACAGAGAAAATGTAAAAAGCATCAAAATTGTCTCAGAAAAGTCATGATGTGTATTAGCATTCTTTAGTGAGTTAAGGATAGAAATAAGTAATTTTAGTACCATAATTATAATATTCGTGTAGAACCGGAAGTTTATCTGTTTGCACATGCGCAGGATGGATCCTGCTTCCGGGACGGAACATATTTTCTTACAATTTTAATATAATTCCTTCTTTAATTGGGTCGCTCTGTCAGCTAAAGGCATGTTTTATAGTCTCTATATTTCAGTTAACATTTAATCGATTACTACTAGTTGACGATTATTTCAATAATCAATCAATCTGATTAATCCGATTCATTGTTTCAGTCCTAGTGAATATAACATAAAAATGAGACTCAACAGCAGACATGTTTGTCTAAAAGATCCTGGAGACTTTCAGGAACAGAAGGCTGTCCAAGTGACTGTAGTGAACATATTTATTTAAAGCCCACATCTCTTCAACCCTTTTAAGGTAATTCCTCCAATCAGTTGTATGGATTTGGCTTTCCCTTCACCTCCTGAGCCCCACAGCCCCCCCGACAATCTGAAGATTAATGCTCAGCGGTTAATGATTTAGCTAAGAATAAGAATAGCGCAACACTCTGACATGCCTAAAACTGCTGCCTTCTGTGTATCGATACCAGGACCTGAGCGGATCAATAAAAACATGTAAAAATCAAACCAAACAGGTTGACCTTCTGTCCACAAATAGCAATAAAGATATAGTTTAATGACTGCTGGGGGGCACTGGGAGTTCAAGTGTACACTGAATGTTTCACTACCTGCTTCTATCTTGATTTGCTTTTATTGTTCTAGGGAAATCCTATTTAAATGTGAAATCATTCTGGCTTAAACATGTATATAAATGTATTCTTTATCAGATGATATTGTCCCAAAATTTAGAACATTTCTATTTAAAAACAAAATCCTGTCTTAAAACCTGTGGGTTTTTTTTTCATTATCTTATGCAGGCCAGTTACTTATACGTCAGCCTGAACATCTAAATTCGGCCAATCATATATCCATGGTCGTCTGTCAATCAAATTTTTTCGGTTATATCATCTTGATTCATATGTCACAGCTAATATACGCAACAGTTGAAATCAGAATCCTTTCCTTTCCCACTGAGTTGCGTCCCAGTGTTCACGGCGATGGACGTCTGTGTCTTCGGCAGGCGTAGAGCTAACAGAACTGGCAGCGTTGCGAGGCAAGGGCTCAAACATGTATGGCTGGAAGCCTTCTACACCAAACCAAGCTTCTGCCGCCCTGGCGTCCTCTTCCACAACATCTTCGTCCCCGCTTTCCTCCTCTAAATAAAAAATGGATGACGGAGGAGACTCATCCACGACCTCCAACCCAAAACTCTCCTCCTCTTGCATGTTTCCGCTGTCCATAGCGTTCCTTGACAGTGTCATTGCTAAGTCACCATTAAGAATCTCTTACCACTAAGTTGCTGACTGGTTAGCAACGATCTTTCTGAGGAACTGGCCACAACATAAAGCTTACAAACCCTCCGCGATAACAAATCCGCCCTCTTAATATAGGACCAATCACATTCACTTTATTCACTTGTGTAAAGTCGGGCACCACTCTGGAGAATTTGGAAATTCAAAGGTTGAAACAGCCGTTTCCCTGCGACTTTAATTCATGTAAAGCACTTTGAATTGTCCTTGTTCTAAATTGTGCTATTCAAATAAACTCACTGTTTTTTCTCGTTTGAGGGACTTGGAAATAGTCAGTGGCCCTCTTCACACTTACCTTAGCCAGTAAGACCCGGTATTATTATATACAATGGTTACAGTAAAGTCTTATACTAGTGTGAATAAAGTCATAACATTACTGGGAGAGGCACGTATTTGCAATGTTTTTGTAAAAAAAAAAAGTGTAAAATGCACTAAAAAACAACTTCTTCAGTAGTTTTCACAGCTTTATTTATAACAAAGAACCCCTGATCCCAAAGACATTGTTTGTTATTGTTAGTCAGCTGTTTAACTGTTGTCATTTCATCTAAAATAATTGTTAGAGGTTGACTTTATCCGTTACGTTTTTTGCATTATTGCCACTTGCAGGTGATATTAGGTACATTTGTTTTCACTCTTGCCGGGTAAAGAAAAAAAAAACCTGACACTGTAATTTACTAGGATTAAAATGTATGTGTGAAAGACGCCAATTCTTATTCTACTTGTGAACTTGCACCAGTCAGTTACTGAGATTTATGTGGTAAACGGGGTAATGTCTTACTGCAGGTGTTGGTGCTGTTCTGAACATGGGGTTAATTTCGTTAAGCTGCAATCATATTGAAAAAAAGTAGCTATTCTGCATAAAGATAGTTTCGTATTTGTTTTCTTTTGTTTTTTTTTTTTTTAAAGGAGTCATAAGCCGGTATTTTAGATATACAATCCTTCTGAAGTTGGCTTAACCTAAAGAAAATCCAGGCTTTAGTTGCAGCCTAGATTTGCTTGATTGTAAAATAGAAAGACTTGGTCTCGAAGCTTTGAATCCCATTTTAAGGTTTTTTTTATCATGGTTTGCATTATTTTAACAGCAGATTCCTCTTCTATCCAAACAGCATGAATCTCTGGCAGGTAGCTGACTTCCTAAAGGAAAATGGGGTCATCAATGCCATTAATTTGGATGGAGGCGGGTCTTCCACCTATGTGATTAATGGCTCATTGGCCAGCTACCCCTCCGATCACTGGTGAGCCATTTAATCTCTAACGTCATACTTTATAATCTTTATTCAGCGGCTTAAAGGCTTAATTGATCAAATGTTTCTCATCTTTTTTTTTTTTTATCCTTCCCAGCAAACTTGACGGCAGGTGGCGCTGTGCCAGAGAAGTCTCCACTGTTCTGTGTGTTCATCAGCGGCGATGCAATCCGGCGAACTGCAGCAGCCACCGTGACTGTGTTGATGGACAGTGCCGGTGTCAGACGGGCTGGCGGGGTCCCGCCTGCAACACCCTGGTGTGTCAGCCCTCCGCCTGCGGACCCCATGGTGTCTGCTCACCCAGTGAGTTTCCTGACGCTGGTTAAAGTCACCATTTATTTGACATGACCGTCTCCACCCTAATGCTGCTGCTTCATCCTGTTGGTCAAACATGGCAGCTGTTTTTCCTGACCTGTGTGTGTTCGGCAGGTGGCTGCGTTTGCAAAGCTGGATGGAGAGGGACCAACTGCAGCGAAGGTAAACACACATAGTTTATTAGCATCTGGGGCCTCACAAATTTCCTTTCACTCTTTGAACAGTTTGTGACGTTAAACCAACAAACGTTGGTGTATTTTAGGGTTAGATATGGTCAAACCCCAACAAAACAATGGTTGATTATAGTAAAGTGAACAAAATTTGCATAGTAATCAAGCAGTTTTTGATAATTAAAAAATAGACGTAGATTTTTATTACTATCACCCTCATTTGATCTTCTACTGATAAAAAGGGCCACCGCAAATTTTCAGATACTAAAGTTGAATTTATTATGAATCTGTGGGATTTGCTGTTCTGGTCCATCTGGTTTTTAGACGCACCTTAGGCTACGTTTACAACGCAGCCTGAAGTGACCTAAATCCGATTTTTTTTTGCCCATATGCGACCTGGATCTGATCTTTTAATGGCAGTCTGAACAACATAGATCCAAATTTTTCCAATCTGACCCAGGATTGAACAATGGCAAATGGAAAAAAACAATGGCAGCCCACTGCTCCACAAGGGGATGGGTTAAATGCAGAGAGTGTGGGCTCTGTGGCCCTGAATCGGATACGAATCTGATCTTTTCAAATGCGACCTGTGTGGGAACGTCATTAACACGACGACATAGGTCACTATTCTGCGTCTTGCTACACAGAAGCGGCAAGAAAGAAAAACATCCATGGTAGATGATAATTCGTAGAGCAGTATTTATTTTTAAACATATTGAAAAGAATGAGTTTTTATGGTTGTAAAAGACCGCTAGATGCATGCCGGCACTACCATCCATGTTTACTTCCGTAAGCATGGAGCACGCTGGCCTGTGGCGTCCTCTGCTGCGCATGCGGGACACTTGCGTTGTATGACTGCAGTTCACACAGGAGATCACATACAAGCAGGGGTGGAAAGTAACCAATTACATTTACTCACTTTACTGTAATTGAGTACTTTTTATGAGTAATTTGTAATTTTCTGAGTAGTTTTTGAATTATGTAATTTTTACTTTTACTCGAGTAAATTTTAACCTTAGTAGTTTTACTTCGTTACATTTAAAACCCCCTCACCTTACTGAGTAAAAAATAAAAAAATACTGATGGTGAAAAAATTAAATGCGGCCGGAAATATAAACCTGTGTCACCAACGCGTAATCGCCAATAAAATAAAAAAGAAGACGACTTTTGACTTTTAACAGCACTTTATTTACACAATTCAAACATATAAGCTTTACATCAATATAAGCATATTGATGTAAAAACAAGTGTCAGTTAAAAATCACTATTAAAGTAAAACAAGTGTCAGTTAAAAATCACTATTAAAGTAAAACAGGTGTCAGTTAAAAATCACTATTAAAGTAAAACATGTGTCAGTTAAAAATCACTATTAAAGTAAAACAAGTGTCAGTTAAAAATCACTATTAAAGTAAAACAAGTGTCAGTTAAAAATCACTATTAAAGTAAAACAAGTGTCAGTTAAAAATCACTATTAAAGTAAAACAGGTGTCAGTTAAAAATCACTATTAAAGTAAAACAGGTGTCAGTTAAAAATCACTATTAAAGTAAAACAAGTGTCAGTTAAAAATCACTATTAAAGTAAAACAAGTGTCAGTTAAAAATCACTATTAAAGTAAAACAGGTGTCAGTTAAAAATCACTATTAAAGTAAAACAAGTGTCAGTTAAAAATCACTATTAAAGTAAAACAAGTGTCAGTTAAAAATCACTATTAAAGTAAAACAAGTGTCAGTTAAAAATCACTATTAAAGTAAAACAAGTGTCAGTTAAAAATCACTATTAAAGTAAAACAAGTGTCAGTTAAAAATCACTATTAAAGTAAAACAAGTGTCAGTTAAAAATCACTATTAAAGTAAAACAAGTGTCAGTTAAAATCCCTATTATAGTAAAACAAGTGTCAGTTAAAAATCACTATTAAAGTAAAACAAGTGTCAGTTAAAAATCACTATTAAAGTAAAACAGGTGTCAGTTAAAAATCACTATTAAAGTAAAACAGGTGTCAGTTAAAAATCACTATTAAAGTAAAACAAGTGTCAGTTAAAAATCACTATTAAAGTAAAACAAGTGTCAGTTAAAAATCACTATTAAAGTAAAACAAGTGTCAGTTAAAAATCACTATTAAAGTAAAACAGGTGTCAGTTAAAAATCACTATTAAAGTAAAACAAGTGTCAGTTAAAAATCACTATTAAAGTAAAACAGGTGTCAGTTAAAAATCACTATTAAAGTAAAACAGGTGTCAGTTAAAAATCCCTATTAAAGTAAAACAGGTGTCAGTTAAAAATCACTATTAAAGTAAAACAGGTGTCAGTTAAAAATCACTATTAAAGTAAAATAAGTGTCAGTTAAAAATCACTATTAAAGTAAAACAAGTGTCAGTTAAAAATCACTATTAAAGTAAAACAAGTGTCAGTTAAAAATCACTATTAAAGTAAAACAAGTGTCAGTTAAAAATCACTATTAAAGTAAAACAAGTGTCAGTTAAAAATCACTATTAAAGTAAAACAAGTGTCAGTTAAAAATCACTATTAAAGTAAAACAAGTGTCAGTTAAAAATCACTATTAAAGTAAAACAAGTGTCAGTTAAAAATCACTATTAAAGTAAAACAAGTGTCAGTTAAAAATCACTATTAAAGTAAAACAAGTGTCAGTTAAAATCCCTATTATAGTAAAACAAGTGTCAGTTAAAAATCACTATTAAAGTAAAACAGGTGTCAGTTAAAAATCACTATTAAAGTAAAACAGGTGTCAGTTAAAAATCACTATTAAAGTAAAACAGGTGTCAGTTAAAAATCACTATTAAAGTAAAACAAGTGTCAGTTAAAAATCACTATTAAAGTAAAACAAGTGTCAGTTAAAAATCACTATTAAAGTAAAACAAGTGTCAGTTAAAAATCACTATTAAAGTAAAACAGGTGTCAGTTAAAAATCACTATTAAAGTAAAACAGGTGTCAGTTAAAAATCACTATTAAAGTAAAACAGGTGTCAGTTAAAAATCACTATTAAAGTAAAACAGGTGTCAGTTAAAAATCACAATTAAAGTAAAACAAGTGTCAGTTAAAAATCACTATTAAAGTAAAACAAGTGTCAGTTAAAAATCACTATTAAAGTAAAACAGGTGTCAGTTAAAAATCACTATTAAAGTAAAACAAGTGTCATTTAAAAATCACTATTAAAGTAAAACAAGTGTCAGTTAAAAATCACTATTAAAGTAAAACAGGTGTCAGTTAAAAATCACTATTAAAGTAAAACAAGTGTCAGTTAAAAATTAAAAATCACTATTAAAGTAAAACAGGTGTCAGTTAAAAATCACTATTAAAGTAAAACAAGTGTCAGTTAAAAATCACTATTAAAGTAAAACAGGTGTCAGTTAAAAATCACTATTAAAGTAAAACAAGTGTCAGTTAAAAATCACTATTAAAGTAAAACAAGTGTCAGTTAAAAATCACTATTAAAGTAAAACAAGTGTCAGTTAAAATCCCTATTAAAGTAAAACAAGTGTCAGTTAAAAATCACTATTAAAGTAAAACAAGTGTCAGTTAAAAATCACTATTAAAGTAAAACAAGTGTCAGTTAAAAATCACTATTAAAGTAAAACAAGTGTCGGTTAAAAATCACTATTAAAGTAAAACAGGTAGCAGTTAAAAATCACTATTAAAGTAAAACAGGTAGCAGTTAAAAATCACTATTAAAGTAAAACAGGTGTCAGTTAAAAATCACTATTAAAGTAAAACAAGTGTCAGTTAAAAATCACTATTAAAGTAAAACAAGTGTCAGTTAAAAATCACTATTAAAGTAAAACAAGTGTCCGTTAAAAATCACTATTAAAGTAAAACAAGTGTCAGTTAAAAATCACTATTAAAGTAAAACAAGTGTCAGTTAAAAATCACTATTAAAGTAAAACAGGTGTCAGTTAAAAATCACTATTAAAGTAAAACAAGTGTCAGTTAAAAATCACTATTAAAGTAAAACAAGTGTCAGTTAAAAATCACTATTAAAGTAAAACAAGTGTCAGTTAAAAATCACTATTAAAGTAAAACAGGTGTCAGTTAAAAATCACTATTAAAGTAAAACAAGTGTCAGTTAAAAATCACTATTAAAGTAAAACAAGTGTCAGTTAAAAATCACTATTAAAGTAAAACAAGTGTCAGTTAAAAATCACTATTAAAGTAAAACAAGTGTCAGTTAAAAATCACTATTAAAGTAAAACAAGTGTCAGTTAAAAATCACTATTAAAGTAAAACAAGTGTCAGTTAAAATCCCTATTATAGTAAAACAAGTGTCAGTTAAAAATCACTATTAAAGTAAAACAAGTGTCAGTTAAAAATCACTATTAAAGTAAAACAGGTGTCAGTTAAAAATCACTATTAAAGTAAAACAGGTGTCAGTTAAAAATCACTATTAAAGTAAAACAAGTGTCAGTTAAAAATCACTATTAAAGTAAAACAAGTGTCAGTTAAAAATCACTATTAAAGTAAAACAAGTGTCAGTTAAAAATCACTATTAAAGTAAAACAGGTGTCAGTTAAAAATCACTATTAAAGTAAAACAAGTGTCAGTTAAAAATCACTATTAAAGTAAAACAGGTGTCAGTTAAAAATCACTATTAAAGTAAAACAGGTGTCAGTTAAAAATCCCTATTAAAGTAAAACAGGTGTCAGTTAAAAATCACTATTAAAGTAAAACAGGTGTCAGTTAAAAATCACTATTAAAGTAAAATAAGTGTCAGTTAAAAATCACTATTAAAGTAAAACAAGTGTCAGTTAAAAATCACTATTAAAGTAAAACAAGTGTCAGTTAAAAATCACTATTAAAGTAAAACAAGTGTCAGTTAAAAATCCCTATTAAAGTAAAACAAGTGTCAGTTAAAAATAACTATTAAAGTAAAACAAGTGTCAGTTAAAATCATTAAATGAGGAGCTTGTTAATAACAGTGGCATCCTGTTGCGTTTCAGTTTGATTTCCGGTATCTTTTGGGCATTTAATTTTGTGTGCATTTTGAAAAGTTTAAAATGTAGTTTAAATTTCTTTATTCCTATCATGGTGTTGTCTGTTGGACATTAGGGTTGAAAATTGTTTGCACTTTATGGTTCAGGTTGTGACTGTCCTTGTGCTTTGAGGAAGTATGTTCTTTAGCCCAGCTGATCTTTTGCAAGTTTGGATGTCCACTGAAATACGCCTTAAAATCGATTAAAACACCTTGTGGTCAATTCGATTCATGACTCATCCTTTTTTTGCATTAAATAACTCAAAGTAACTTTTACTCAAATTACATTTTATATGAAGTAATTTTGTACTTTACTTGAGTAAATTTTGAGATGGGTAATTTTACTTTTACTCTGAGTAAAATTTAGGCAAAGTAAAGATACTTTTACTCAATTACAATTTTTGAGAACTCTTTCCACCTCTGCATACAAGTCGCATATATTTGGAAATATGAAAGGCAACGCAAAAAAAATCGTATTGCACAAAAAAATCAGAATTGAGCATCAAGGCCTGCAGTGTGAACGTAGCTTTAGTGACACAATTTCTCTGGAGTTATGATCATTAAATGTTAAGTACCGTATTTTACACTTGAAATTCTTGAATTTTCTCTAAAATTTACAGTGCTCCTCATTTATTGCTATTCATTGTGCTCATGAACTGATATTATTAGGGACACAATATTTGAATTCCATCCAAATGTAGTAATGAATCAGTGCATGTTCAGAGCATTAACAGGACCCCTGAGTAGTCCATAAAACTACCTGACTATAATGTCTAAAATACAACTGTTTAGGTGCCCCCCTCCCTTCTTCAAATCAAACCAAAATGGTTTCAAACTTTTGTGCCGCATTTTCATTTGTACCACTATGTTTTCAACATATTAATAAAGACTTGCAGAAGTGATTAATTTAGTCTAGCAAAGTTTTTGCAGAAACATTTTTGCTTGTGCTGCTTTTGTATTACAAGTCTAAAGGTTGAGACGTTTAAACTTTCATTAACAGCTTTAAGAGAAAAGGTGCAAAACCAAAAATGTTTGCTGCACAAATATTTGACATAATTTCTGTCTGGGGAGGCTTATAGGCCTTGACTTTAAACGTTATTAACATGAAAACAAAATCAGGTTTTGTCACATTTTATTTTGTTGTTCAGGTTTGTGATTAAAAAAGGAAAAACTTATTTAAAAAAAAATTCTAAAAAAATGTTACTTATTTAAAAAAATTTATAAAACTTAAATTATGTAAGGAAAAACTGTTTTTTCTTTACATAAAAACAAACAATGGCAGCCCACTGCTCCCCAAAGGGATGGGTTAAATGCAGAGAGTGAATTTCCCCATTTGTGGGACAATAAAGGGATTTATATTACATTCCTTATTTGATCATAGAGAAAGAGGATTTTTCTTGACTGTAAATTGGGAGGAAATAATATTTAAAAAGCAGGTTTATATAAAATCTCATGTAAAGTTGAAAATTGTGTTTAGTTTCTTAACTAAACTTTTGTATGCAGACAAGTTTCTTAAAGAGCAGTCAGATTCGTTGCATCACAAACTAAAACTCATTCTCATTCTTTAAGAAAGAATAAAAGCTCCTAAATGTGATGATTGACTAGACTACGTAAAGTTTGATCATATTTTTGTTGTTCGAATTAAAAAGATGGATAAAAAATTGTGAAACCCTTTCTTTCAGTGTGTCCTTTGGGTTTCTTTGGTTCGTCTTGCACTCAGGAGTGTCGCTGTGATGACTTGTGCCCATGTGACCCGCAGACAGGAAGCTGTAACACCTCTTTACCACAAGAGGCCAATTACACCCTTCACCGAGGTATGAACACAATCATTGTTCCCATTTCTGATGCCAAACATCCGATTCAGCATAAAACCACCTTCGAGACCCTATTGGTCTTTATTTATAGATAAAATTGTACTATAAACGCAGCAGAAGTTGAGAGTCAGACTCCGTTTCTTTCTGTCCAGCAGGACAGAAGAGAAAAATATTAGCTTAATTCAAATTTTTAAATTTTTATTGCTGTCAAATATTTATATAGTTTATTTGAAAATGCTTGGTGTTGAAAAATTAAAGTGATAATTCACTTTTTGGAAGATGGAGTCAGAAAAATAAACTCCTCATTATAACAGAAGCCGCTACCTGAGTCATGTTCTGGCTCTTTTATAGGTCATCAGAATAACTTATTCTCTGACTACAGAGGGGGGAGGGGCATTAAAGGAATAGTACACCCAAAACATGATTAGCCTTCATTTTCTACTCACCCCCATGCTGAACAACACTCTGGAGTACTTTTTAGATATCTCAAATGCATCTGGAGATCTGGGAGGCTTCTTGCTGTCTGCTGACATTCAAATATTGGAGGTCTATGGCGCCCGAGGCAGAAAGGTCCATAAAAGTCCACAAAAAATGTGTCAATATTCCTCCATACTGCTCGTCCAATGTATTCCAAGTGTCCTGAGTGGGTAGCGTCCATAATTTACTCGAAACGAAGTCATTTAGAATGTTTTTAGAGCATAAACAGTAGTGAATAGGATTTCCTAAAAGCGCGCGCCTGCGAGTTCATGACTCTACGGAAGCCGGCAGACCAAACCAGATGAAAGTGCGCATTCAGCGTCTGCTCTGCCGATAATGCAAGCATAGAAGAAGAAATGTGCTGTTTACCTGTGCAAAGAAAGAAACAACGAAAGAAAAATGTCTGAGGACTTCATTGTTGAGGAAGAGCATGAGTTCTTTGCCGAGCTGAATGCGCACTTTCGTCTGGTTTGGTCTGCCGCGGTTTCCGTAGACTTGTGAACGCGCTTTTAGGAAATCCTATACACTACTGTTTATGCTCTAAAAACATTCTAAATGACTTTGTTTCGAGTAAATAATGGACGCTACCCACTCAGGACACTTGGAATATATTGGACGAGCAGTATGGAGGAATATTGAAACGTTTTTGTGGACTTTTATGGACCTTTCTGCCTCGGGCACCATAGACCTCCATTATTTGAATGTCAGCAGACAGCAAGAAGCCTCCCAGATCTCCAGGTGCATTTGAGATATCAAAAAAGTACTCCAGAGTGTTGTTCAGCATGGGGGTGAGTAGAAAATGAAGGCTAATCATGTTTTGGGTGTACTATTCCTTTAAACTGAGCAAATCCAGAAAGAAAACCTAGAATAATTCACTGGGGCACCAAAGATGAAGGCAAAAATAATAGTTTTCGTTGGTTTAAAAACAGATCTAGTAAAATATGAAAAAGCTTGAACATACTGAGCTTAATGATTCTGGGATACGATCGTTTTCTCCATGTCTCTCTACAGCCGGACACTGCCTGGCCAAAAAGATGTTTACATCCTGGGGACTAGAAGAAGAAGCTCTCAGAGCAAAGCCTTATCTGACAGAGTAAGGTTTTTATTTTTTACCTGTTATTTATACACCATTTACACTACCCTTGAAAAACCGATCCATGCCGAGACCAGTCCAAGCTCGGATCAGTTAACCAGGCCGAGCTCGGTTCTGACGACTGTTTAAACGTCACGCTATCTCGGTTCCTCGCCTCCTAGTGACGATCTGCTGCATTACTGCCAGTATTAAAGGAGGAAATCAAGCAGTTGGTGGCGGTAATGCACCAAAAGTTGTTTGCCAACCGCCATAAAACACAAGAAGAAGACGACGAAGAAGGAGGGAATCGAGCAAATCAAAATGGCGGCGCCCGTCACAGTCAGAAAGTTATGCTTGATTATTACTGCTGTACTTCGGTGTTATTATTTAAAATTTTGCATGGAGAAGATTTCCATTGTTGTTTATGGTTGAAGAAGAAGTTGTTCTTCTTCTTCTGTTTCCGGAGGGGCATTACTGCCACCTACTGGAATGGAGTGTGAATCAGGATGTGCTGCCAGATAGAGATGATGCGTTCTGCTCATGCGATCTTGTTATGAGAGAACGGATCCAGGGAAAAACCGAGCCGAGCCCACCTCTGGAACTGGTCTGCAGTTAGCGCGGTCCGGTTGTGTCTAGCTCGGTTCAGTTCAGTTTGCTTTCCATTTACACACCATAAGTTATCTCAGTTACTGAGCTCGGACCGGTCTCTGCACGGTTTTTCAAGGGTAGTGGAAATGGGGTAAAAGATATCAACCTAACCGATCCACTGCCATTTTTTTGGGATGATTTTAAGAGCTTATATATTGCATTTTCTTGCTCAATTTCTAAGATAAAACTAACAACTGAAGCAAAGTAGAAGCTGTCTTTATTTATAGGGATGCACGATATAATCGGCCCCCTATCGGCATCGGCCTGTATCGGCCTTAAAACTGAATATCGGACATCGGCCACCCCACCGATATTTAACCCGATATTTGATCAGCTTCTGAGTAAAAAAAAAAAAAAAAAAAAAATACTACTTCTTCTTCTTCATCAAAAACTTCTTTTTTACAGACTTAAAAACTTCTAAAGACGAGGGAAAAAAATATTGATACATTAAAATGTCACGATATCTTCATATGCTGATATATTGCCATTTAAAAACACCATATCAATCTCTTTTGCTAATGAAATATTGCTATACGTCATCGTTATGCTACGAAATCCACAGAAAATTCACAAAATTTTGCCATATTTTATATGTTGATATATTGACGCGGTATCGATCTATTTTACTAACAAAATCTCACAAGAATTTGCAAAATATCACGAGACTTTGTAACAGAACGATGAAATTTCACGAGATTTTGAAAGTAAAATAGATCGATACCGCGTTTTTAAAAATCAATTTGATATCAGCATATGAAAATATATTTGAGTATATTATTTTTCAAAGTGTCAGAAATGGATAACAAAACTGCTATTTTCAATGACTACTTATTTTTGTCCAGCTTTAACATCGGTATCGATATCGGTTATCGGCTACATTAGTTTTAAAATATCGGCATATCGGATATCGGCCAAAATCCCAATATCGTGCATCCCTATTTATTTAATAATGTACCATCCTCTGTTGCTCGTTCGATGGAACATTGGAAAAGTTACGACATAAAAGTTTTCCTTTAGGATCAATAAAGTATTTTTTAACTGATTTGAATATTAATGCCTGAATGTCTCTGATTCATTTCAGCATATTGTTAGAGAATTCTAATAAAATCCACGATCATCTCTCTCTCCTTCCACAGGCAAACATGGTTGATCATCACCCTCATCCTCACCTCGCTGCTGTTGGCCACCCTGCTCGTTCCCCTGCTCCAGACGTGTCGAGGATCAGTGGCGTCCCGCTTCCCCGAGCGCCAGGATTATTCCTACGTTCCGCTACGCGACATCAATGGAGCCGCCGCTGAAACTGGGAACTCTGGGACGGGAGGTTTAGGCCTGGAGGACTCTGATTCCCAGGAGGATATATTCACTCAGAGGTCGTAGCAGCCTGGAGGACAGAAGATGAGGAGTGAGAGCCCTGTTTCTGCACAAAAACACATACTGGATGCTCTGTCACCACTTTAGACCAAACTTCATCAGTGAAGCTCAACAGTTTCAGTTTGTTGATCTCTTAAAACGTTTCATCAGGGTTTTCCTGAGGCGTTTGGCAGCTTTCTGAAGCTGGATTTTTGTTTTCAGTCGAGGCGTTTCCACCTGAAGTTTAACAGGTGGAGATAAAATCTTTATTTTTATTTTTCAACTCTTGGTTCTGTTTCATCTCCAGGTTTGGATAACGTTCCCAAACGTCTGACTTTGAGCTGTGACCTTTTCCCTCATTTTTCTGAGCCAAAAACCCAAAAAAACATTACAGACTCTCACACACAACAGGAATTATAAATATTAATATATTTGTTGTTTTTTTACTTGGAGTGGGATGTTTACAGGCCTTAAAAACGGTGTTTCAAGTGTCTTATGTACTTTCCTAACGGTACCAGCAGTTTGTTTTTATAGTAATTCCTGATAGTTTTTCTGTTGGTGAAGTCAGGAGCTCAATGGATTTATAATCTTTGAATTTAAACTATATTGTTCTTCCAAGAAGCAAAAAAAAACATAATTCTTCCAAACTTTGGGCTACGTTTATAGATTGGAAATGATTAAAGATTTTCAAGATTAAAAGGACTGCTGCTGAGATAGTTTTGTGATACGGATCTTTTCTAAGTTTGAATGTTCAACTTCCTTCTGTTTGATCAGATAAACTTTATCAAAACAACAATAATATTCAAAACAAACAATCATGTTGGAGGAAAATATGATTATAGTTACAAAGAAGTGAAGTGAAATTAGTTTTTTATTCTGTTTGTCTTTTATATACTTGGTCTTTTGGAGACAATAAAGGCAATTTATGCTTCTGACGCATAGCCTCTGCAACCGTCAAATCTGTCTCTGTGCGTGACCACGCCCCCCGCGCAGAGGGTCTGCAACTGTCGTTTTGCACCTCAAAGAAATCCTGACTACGCGTCAGACCGTCGCGAACCCGCGCAGACCTCAAGCGAATTGCGCAGACAAAAAGCAGCTGTGATTGGTCCTTGATATGTCTTTCCAGCTGTCCTTGTGGTCGTCCTTCTCGATTCGGTGCTGGGGCGCGCCATTTTTAAAAACCGAGGAACAACTACAATGGACAACTACGACAAAAGGTTAAGCGAGGAGGTTCGCTCCATTAACAGAACCTGTTCCTCTTCGAAGTCTAACAACTCTAGATCCATTTCCATGACATCTTGCAGATGCGGCATTGTTGTTTTGGAAGATAAACACTCCCGAAGTTCTCGTGACAATCCGCAAAAGTTCTCACAAGTTCTCGAATAGGCTCCTCCTTGCGCTTTGGCGGGAAACTGCTGTGCGTCCCTACAAATTCCACACCGACGGTGCAGAAGCAGACCAGCAAAAATGGTCCGGCACCAGACCCAAGCGACATTTGATGTGTGCAGATGCAGAAGTCTAATCTGCCCTTAACTCAGGTAAAGTCTACTCCTGTTACATTGAAGCCAAAGAGGGAAATAAGAGTCCTAACACCTGAATAGATATCATTGCTTGCAGCTAGTTAAACCGGTCTATAAGAGCTACTTATTAAACTCCTTAAAACAAACACCAGATGTCTTTAGAGAGATTGATAGATTATTAGAAAGGAAAGAAGGACATTTCTATTAAGCTGTCAAGATGATTTGTTGCCTATTTCTCCAAACTAGGCTGTCAAGAATATTTTTGACCTTTACTTTTGTTAAACTGTTTTTCCATCCATCCATACATCTTCTTCCTCTTATCCGGGTTTGGGTCGTGGGGGTAGCAGCTTCAGTAGGGAGGCCCGGATGTCCCTCTCCCCAGCCACTTGGTCCAGCTCCTCCGGGGGAATCTCAAGGCGCTTCCAGGCCAGAAGAGAAACACATTCCTTCCAGTATGTCCTGGGTTTCCCCCATGGCCTCCTCTCGGTGGGACGTGTCTGGAACACCTCACCAGGGAGACTTCCAGGAGGCATCCTAACCAGATTCCCGAGCCACCTCAACTGGCTCCTCTCAATATTTTACCCTAAACCAAAATTTGAACGCTGCAACAAGTGTCTATCTAACCAAGTCTTAGTTTTACCCAACAAGTCTTTGTTTTGAGATTGGTATATGAAGCAAGAACAGATTCTGTGAGATTATTTATCTTTTATGTTTTCGCAATGAAAGAGAAAGCAGTGAGGAATCCCATCAAACCACCAGAGCTCCTCCTCACGGGTTCATCTGGGCACTAGAAGCTGCGGTATCTTCACTTTCAGGTTCTGTCCCTGCTATAACAGCTATAATTCTGCACACACTGGAAAAACAATCTACAAATAAGTAAAACATTTATCACATTAAATAAATTTAGTTGGTAAATGGGATAGTTTGCGAATGGAATTAGTTTTTTACTCTTAAAATAAGATATTTAGATAAAATGCACTTGAAATAAGACAATGCAATTGTTCTTATTTTAAATGCAAATTGTCTTGTTCCATTTGCAAAATGTCGCTTTTACTTCCTCAATTCAGGAGCAAATGCATTTATTTTCAGAAATAATAACTTATCTAGATTATGATTGTTTTTTTTTTCTAGTGCAGACTGCAAACAGCATCACCGCAGAATGTAGTGGGTCGAGTTGAGGTCGTGGTTTTGGAGATGCCAAAAACCGCCATCAGTTTTAATATTTAATAAAGCACATCTGAGGTCATCATGTTAACTCTTTCAGCACTGAGATGGATCCACTGGGAGCTTTTTTCTTCCTTCCATCATATCCCTAGCAGGATTCTCCTGTAAGCAAACATGTCTGATTGGGCCTCAGTCGGAGCTGAACCTTCACCTGCTGCAGCTCTGGGGTTTTTTCTGCCAGGTGCCATTACCCTGCCGCATCCGTTTGACCCTGGGCTGCACCTCTAGCATTATAGACGGGCTGACAAGAAAACAACCCCGTTTAAAGTAGAGCTGGGTAATAAATTGCATTTGCAATATCTCAATTTAACAAAACGCAATTTTCAAATCATAAAGAGGCTTTGATTTTTAACCACACTATATTTAACGAAAGTAAGACATAAAATTTCTCCCTCCAGCCCTTTAGCTGGTGGTAAAATGCTTTAAGTGGGTCTGTCACCACCGATAAAGGAAGAAGAATTGAAGCTAGCACACAGATGAAAGCCTGGGTGAAAAAAAACATGGGGTCCGTGCAAAGGACAATAAAAATAAAATTTCAATTTTGGTTGAAAATAAAGCCCTAGTTTAAACAATGTTTGTTCATTTTAATGCTGTCAGTTTAGGTCAAATCTGTAACCTTTGTTTGCCAAAGTAAGAGAACACAATGAGTTTTAATTTAACCTGATGCTATTATGTTAAACCTAAGCTGAATTTCAGTTTTTTTAAATAAAAATCTCATTGTTTCCTCTGACAAGATTTAAATCTTCAGAATATCCTGCAGTTATGCTCCCCTGCTGTTTGGCCCACAGGCTGCATGCAAACATGGCCGCTGAAGTACTTCCCTGCCTGTGAGGCTTCCACCTGCAGCTACCATCCAGGTGAGGTTTGTTGCAGAGGAGTTAACGTACTTTGTCACAGGCTAACTATTGTTCTTCACATTACTATTTGTTTATTAAACCTACTACTTCCTACTGCAGGCTTAGTCTGTTTCAGAAAACAAAACCTCCATTGTTTATTTCAGCTGGCACTCCATATGAATGTATGACCCTAAAATAACTGAAAGAAACCCTTTGACAATGAAATTGTTTTACTGTATATATATTTATTTATCAAATAGTGAAAAATTAAAATTAAATTTTGAATATATTTATTTCCTAATGGATGACATTACAAAAATTCATTTTATTATTTAAATTTTATTATTAAAAAGTGTTTTTTGTTTCTATAGTGGTGTTCTGACATTCTTAGGAACCCCTGACTTGATGTAAAAATAAAAATGTTGCTCTTTTTGCTCCACAGTTTTTCTGATGGATTTTAGAGGCCGACTTAAAGTCGACGAATTGATTATTCGTACAAATGTCCTTCCGTAGTGGAGCGGAGTAACCCCTAATTTACACAGCCACTCTCCGCCCAGCTGCAAACTGTGCGGTAAATCCAGAATAATTATGATCAAGAAGAGCATCTATAGCTGGGTTTCCGCGGGTAAGTCATTAAATTATTATTATTTAAATTAAGGCCTTCATTGGGATGAAAATTAATTCAATTTGATTGTCGTGGCATTTAAAATGCTTTATTTTTAAAAAAGTTTATAAAAAACTATGTTGTCAGATACATTATATCAGATATAAATGGTTCCGCATGTTTGCGTAGAACTGCTTCTGGTGGATCGTAAAGCCGTATGTTCAGAAAAGAAGCTCGAGGTGGAGAAAAGGCTGGAGAATGGGGGGAAAATGCAAATTTCAACTAAAGTGGCAGAAAAATGACATGGCTTCAGCCTGTCGACTGTAAAGATGACAAAGAATTTTGCAGTGTTTTTTAAATATTTTTAAATAAATATATATCCTTTTGTTTATGCTGCGTTATATTTTGACTTATTTATCTCCAAATTCAAAATGTCCCACAGCCAGAACCTCTGTTTTCTGTTTTAAACTTGGATTTTGTTTTTTATAAAGCAAAGTTTTCTCTGAATATTGCTTTATTATGTCTAATAACCAACTTAATACATTGCCTTTATTATTAAGGGAGAACTTCTTCCGTATCAGGAAGTGATGAGACCCTAAGATTGTTCCTATTGGATGCAGAGCATCTTTTGGAAAAAATTTTTGTTATATTTAGCCCTGAACTTTGACCCTTCTATCCGATAATTTGCTCTGATTTAAACCCAAGCCTACATGGGTTTTAAATGTATTATTTATAGAATATATATATATATATATATATATATATATATATTGATTTTTCCTCTTTTACAGATTTTCTTTGAATTTTTTAATATTTCAAAAAGATTTAACACCTTTTTTTGGGGGGGGGGGGGTCAGATTTTTTTTTTTTTTTTTTACAGTTTACAATTCTGGTTGCAGGTTTTCCTCGAGTGAGGAGCGAAGTAACATTTCCATTCTGCATGACTGTTAGAAATAATGTTTCGGTCACTGTGAACATCAAGGGGAGCGCTTGTTTTGAGCTTAGAGTTAACAGAATGTGATCTGTTAAGCACAATTTAAAAAGAATTCTATCTGAAAGACTGAATATTGGAGAAAAAATTAAACAATCGGTATAAAAACCTAATAAAATTGAATTTGAAAAGTTAAGCTACAAAAATATTTATTTATATATTTAACAAGAAGTTCAACAGAAAAAATGAAAATTTGAAAACCGCAATGTTACTCAAAACCTTTTTGGTTTAAAACATTTTTTCAAAGATCCAGTTCTGGAGTTTTAATTTTTGTTATATACCAATTTACAAAATAAGGCATTTTTTTCCCCCAAAGTTTAATCATGAAATGTTTTTTTTTCCTTTGCTTTCAACACTAATGGAACAAAATTTACTCAATTGACCCTTTGCTGAAGTCTTCTGCAGCCTCAAATAGATCCTCATCCTAGATTGCCGTCTGCTTCGCTCCATCTGATTTCCTTTTGACTTTGACAAACTTTCCTATCTTTGCTAAATAGAAATATCCCCACAGCATGATACTGCCACTACCAAGATTGATGGAGTTGTTCTCTTTTCTGACTTGCTTATTGCTGGATTTAAATGAACTACTTAATAGTTTCCCTTTCCTTGATTCCCCACCTGGGCGGTGGATCTCTGCCGCTCCTCCAGAGCTCCCTTTTTCGTTTTGGCTGCTGTGGTTATTAAAGCTCTCCTCTAAGGTCTATGTCTCTTTAAGGCTGTAGACGGTCTGTTTATGTCCTACTTACGGACTGAGCAGAGC